CCTTCCAGGGAGAGAGGGAAGTGAAATAAAAAAGGGAAAAAAAAATCCCATTATCTTTATCTGTCCTTCCCATCGGGTGCAACAGGAAAATGCAAACTGGGGAGACAGCTGCTGTGAACTCTTTATATTTCACTCAGAAGATAGTGTATCTTTTTATTGCATACAGGAATTACTTATTTGAAAAAATACATCCTTTCAGCAGGACTTGAATGGCAAGACAGAGGGGGTGGCGGAGTTCCGGGGGCTATTGATAGAGCATTTGCATTAAACCAGAGGAATCTCTGGAGGTCAAGGCCCGCTGCAGAGGCTGCCGGCAGAGAAGGGCGGTCTCTCCACCTCCCAGTTGTGTGGCCAACCGGCTCTGTGCCTGTCCGGGCAGCAGAGTCTTCTATGCTGGGGAACAGAATGGTGCCACTTACTTCCTCTGGGGAGTGCAGGGAGGAGACAAAAGGATCTCGTGGTTCAGAGAGAGGGGTGTCCTGCCTGCTGCTACTGTGTGAAGAAATGAGGAACCCCTTCTAGTTGCATGGTACCCCCATGCCCTGCACAGAGCTTACTCCATGGTAGCCTCTTAGGATACACTGGTTGAGGAGTTTAGCAAAATAAGGGGGTGCAAAGGGACACAAACCGGGTGAGGACAGCCTCACGCAGAGCAGAGCAGGGCCGGGGGGCGGGGGCGAGGGGAGCTCAGCACTGTCCTCTGAGAGCCCCCAAAGACCAGCCTGCCCAGCACGGTGCCCCCGGCCCCCGCCCTGTGGTTGCTTTCCTTTCCTAGATTCCAACAGACCCAAATGCAGCTGGGCCCTGGGTCCTTCACTTTGGCATGTAAAGGTTAATTTTATGTGTCATCTTAGTTGGGCCATGGCATCCAGATCTGTGGTCTAACATTATTCTGGATGTTTCTGTGAGGGAGTATTTAGATGACATTAACATTGAAATCGGTGAACTGTGAGTGAAGCAAATTGTCCTCCATAATGTGGGTGGACCTCACTCAATTAGAGAAATGCCTTAAGATAACAAGACACTGACCTGCCCAGAGCAAGAGGAAACTGGGCCGACAGAAGGCCTTTGCACTTGAACTGCAATGCTGGCTCTTCCCTGGGCCTCCAGCCTGCATCCTACCTTGCAGACTTTGGACTTGCCAGCCTACATGCTACAGACTGGATGTGTGTGTCCCCCCAAAATTCATGTGTTGAAATCCTAACCCCCAACGTGATGATATGAAGAGGTGGGGCTTTTAGGAGGTGATGAGGTCATGAGGGTGAAGTGCTCATGAATGGGATTAGTGTCCTTGTAAAAGGGACCCCAGAGGATCCCTTGTCCCTTCAGCCAGGTGAGGATCCAGTGAGAAGGTGCCAACTAGGAAGGGATCCTCCCAAGACACCAGATATGCCAGCTGTTGCTTATGAGCCACTCAGTCTGGGGCATGTCATGGCAGCCTGGACGGACTAAGACTCCATAATCATGTGAGCCAATTCCTTAAAATCTACCTACCTACCTACCTACCTACCTACCCGCCGACACATCTGTACTTGCACATCTCATCTATACACACCGGTCTCTCTGGAGAACCCTGACTAATACAGTTCCCATCTTCGTTCCTTAAAGCCTGGAAAAGCCTGGTGGAGGCGGGTTAGGGGTGGAGTGGGGGACCTTCAGTCTAAGGATCAATGAGTAAAAGTGTCAGGGCTGAGAGGCGAGGCCAGGCCCAGAGCCAGAGCGATGACGTAAAGCCCAGGGAGGGCCCTGGGACTGGATTGACTTGGGACAATAACAGGAGTCATTTAAAATGTCTTTGCCTCTTTCTGTGCTGGCCGGGGACAGATGCCCTTGCCTACCCAGGGGCTGACGTCAGGAGGGGAAGGTATCTTTGCCCAATGCCCCGAGCCCCGGGGGCGAGGTCTGGGGAGGGGAAGGTTGGGGGCGGGGCTTGGCTGTCTTGCTTCTGCCCAACGTGTGTGGCTGAGGCTGAGGGAGTTCCCTTCCTGCCCACGGGCCATGCATCCCTTTGGCATACATTAATTTTTTGTAACAACCACACCTTACATTTGTAGATTGCTTTTAGGCTTTCAAAGCACTTTCACCTACAGGATGGAAAGAACTCTCCTTGCTTCCCTCTCCCCTCAGGGGTCTTGAGCTGAGTCTAATTGTGCAGAAGCAGCATTCAGGCCTCTGAGGAAGCCTCATTTCCCTTGTTGCGCCATCGGCTTTGGTAGAAAGAAGGCCAGAGTGCTGGGAGCAGCTCTAAATGCAGGGTTTAACAGAAAAAAAAGGGACATGCCTCAGAAAAACACCCATCCTGGGAGGCTTTTGTTAGGAGTTCAACATGACCAAGGTGTCTCCTCTCCAGCGGAATGGGGCCCTGAAGCTCTCCTTCAGCTTCTCCCCTTCATCTGTCCCTGCTGTGGAGGCCTTGTCCCCCCAGGGTGGCACCTGTGATAGGAGCGGTGGCCCCTTTGCTCTCCTGGTACCGGAAGTGTGAGTATGGTGCAGGGGGGACCCAGCCCCCACCCCCTACTAGAGCAGGTGGCCTTTCCCTGGCCTGAGCAGCCTCCAGCTTGAGAGAGTGCCCAGCTCAGGCAGGTCCTGGGTGCTGCACAGCTCGGGCTGCCTTCACTCCGCATGGACGCAGGACATGGCAGGACACGGCAGGACATGGCAGGACACGGCCGCCCGCGGCTGAACTGGAGCTGCGGCCTCACTCCAGATGGTTTATCACTGTGGCTGTGGGGGGCCTGCTAGCTTTCCATCAGCCACCTGCTTTTCTGGGCCTGCACCCCCAGGCCTTCTAGGGGAGCAATTTTCTAAAGTTAATAAGGTGGGGAGGCCTGGTCCTGAGCCACAAGAACATCTACCAGCCACATGAGTGTTCTCTCTCTGGGCACCCAGGCCGGCCCAGAAGGGGTGAGCTCTGATTCTGCCCTCAGAGGGATCCGCTCTCCTGAGATCCACCGCAGGGGGCCCGTGTCCCCTGAGGAGTTCCAGTGTGGAGCCGAGGCTCGATGCTTCCGGTGGAGGCTGAGGCAGGCACTTGGCGCCCCCCTCGTGGGAAGCCACCCCATTCCCGAGCACCAGAAGCACGCGGTTCTGTCTGCACCGCACCCAGGAGCTCCCCCCGGGTACTGCACCACCTTTCCAAACTCACCCCCCAGCACGAAGGTTCTCACAGCAGCCCCTCCTCACGGCCCTGTCAGGGCTACCCTCCCGCCCGCGTTGTAACGAAGGGCCCTGAGAAGCCGAACGTGGCCAAGGCCACAGTTCCCATAAAAAACTAAAGGAAGTCTGTGGCCACATCGCCCTGAACCAGCCCGATCGTGCTTGATCTTGGACAAAAACTGAAGGAAGGTGGGTGCTCCCTGCGGAACCCATTGTGGAGCAGCCTGCTCAATTGTCTGGGGCTAGGGAGCATGGGGGTCTTCCTTCCCACTGACGTTTGCTCTCACACTGGTTCTGCAACAGGCCTTTTCCCTTCATCAGTCTGTGGGATCTTCATGGCGAAGAAGTCACCACATGTGGACACAAATATCCACTCTGACTCTAGGGACCAGTGTCCCAGGATGCACATGTGGACACACTCACCCACACCCCACGCCCGCCCCCAACTCTAACATTTCCTCCCTCCCTCCCTCCCTTCCTTCCTTCCTTCCATTCTTCCTTCCTTCCTTCCTTCCTTCCAGAAATAACACACACAGAGACATCTCCAAAGTGAAGGAGAGCACACACTTGCCCACTCTCTCTCTCCAGGCGCCTGAGCTCTAGGCGGGGGGCCAAACACACCCTGCCCAGAGCCTCGCGAGGGGACATGGGGTTCAGTGAAGCAGTAAGAATTCAGATGAGTTAGCAGAACTTCCTGGCCCTGCGTCTTCGGGCATCAGAATTTGGGTGGGGCACTGCAGTGGGAAGGGTGAGGAGTTGCTGGGATGTTAGAGACGAGCACAGACGCCCATGGCTTCGGGGAAGCCAGCCTCGCGGCCAGATGGAGAGATACGGGGCCTCTGGAGGTCCTCCCATCCCCACGTTGCCACAATTGCCCAGACACAAGCACATACACCCATAAATGCCCTTCTCCCCATGGCCAGGAACTGCAAACAGACACACACCGTTTCCTTACTACTGTTACTCTCACAAGCACCTGCTTTGCTGGGTACTAGCAGCAGCCAACACTGATGGAGTGTGTGCCACAGGCCGGGCACTGTGTTCAGAGGCTGTACATGCATCATCTCATTTCATTTTTACAGTGAGGCAGGTACTATTATCTCCATTGTATAGGCAAGGAAACTAAGGCACAGAAAGGTTAAGTAACTTGACCTACGTCACATAGCTAGAACTCGGAGGCCCCAGGACTCAAATTCAGGTGTGTCTGACATTCACCCATGATGCCAAACTGCCTCTCTTCAGCCCCGGTCTCTGGGGGGCTCCCTGCTAGGCTTTCCCCAGGAAGATACCTTATTAAACACTCAGGCAAATCATAACTGGGTCTAAGTGCAGCTGGCCTTAAGTGGCATGCCCTTGTTTATATAGGCTATGTGATCTATTCATGGAACATTCAAATACAATGCCATCCCGCTCCCCAGTAGGCTGCCACAGCTCATTTTTCTCTATTCTCTCCTCCATCCTCCATCTCTGACCCAGATCCCTCGTGCCGTAGGTAGTCAGCAAAAACCGCAGGCACAGAACAGAGGAGAAGGGCAGAGCCTGGGGCACAACAAAGGTGGCAGCAAGACCTTGGACCACACAGACTCAGACTAACTCCCCCTCTCTGCAGAGATAACACCGCCACGCCCACCCCTCAGCTGCTCAGAAGCCCCCAGAGGCACTCGGGTGGCCGGCAGACTGTAGCCCCTCCCTGCTTTTTGCTCACTAAGTGGCCATGAAGGCACATCACCCACCGTGGGCTCCTGGGGGCCGCACGTGCCTGCTCCGTACACCCTGGCTCCCCCGTTGAGTGAGAGGGCTCCTGGCCAGTCACAGGACAGTCCCCGAGAGGGCTGTGCACTCACCCAGGTCCATGTCTGCAGCCTTGGGCCGGTGGGAGCAGGGCACGTTCTTGAAGATGGCGTCCAGGATCTTCTCCTTGACCTGAGTAATGGTGTCGCAGTTGAGGATCTTCACTGGGACCTCGGGGCTGTTGGCGTTGTCTGGGTTGACACAGCTCAGGACCTGGGGGAGGGAGGGGAGAGGAGGTGGGGGAGGCAGCAGGAAAGGCTTGGAGATTCCCAGCAGTGCCGCGGGCTGCTGCCCTGACCAGCTCCGCCTCTGCACACGGCTGGACTGGACAGCGCGGGGGTGCCCAGCCCAGCCGTGTTCCCCCCAAGCCCTCTGCCCTGCTTATTCTACGAGCAGCAGGAAGACACCATGACTTCCGTGTCGCTGCAGGAATAGGAGCCACACACGTAACAAACATCCTTAAAATCTTGATTTTTTCCCAGGGAGAACAACATCCAAGTAGGAGAAGGCGTGAGGGAGATCTGCATGAGAGAGGACACGAAGGCATGCACGCATGTGCGCTCTACATGCACACGTGCCCGCGCACGAGGGCGCGCACCCAGACCCTCGCCCACCTCTGAGGCTCCCACTGTCCCATCTGTGTGTGTGTCAGTCTGTCTTTCTTGTCACTGGCTCTCACACACATGCACACTAATGAGCCTTTGCCACAGGACTTTCTAAGATTCAGTTTTTGTGAACGTTTCGGGCTGATGGGAGGGGGCAGAGGCTATAAGAAACTTAATGTGTTCTTTAGAAAAGGGGGCCTTCCAAACTTTCAGGTTCAAGCCGCCTAAGATCCCTTCCTGGCTCTGAACCTGCAGCCTGTGCTGGGGAAGAGGCCACCCTGCTCAGGACGTCAGGTCTCCTTTTGGAACCAGTGGGAAAAGACAAGACTCTGCTTAAAGCCCCAAACTCTATCTTTTCCTTTAAAAATGCCTGGGCTGCTTCCAAAGACTTTTCTTCTCTGCTGTTTTCAGAGTGGGCCCTCTCTGCGTGGAGGAGACTGCGTGGGACGCTGGGTGGGCGGCCGTGGGACGGGCGGGGGCTGTGGGGCGCAGGTGCTCTCTGGTGGCCGTGCCACCTGCACGCCCCCCGACCCTGCAGCCCGAGCCCTCCTTCTCTGAACGCTCCCCGCACACCCCCACCCCAACCGCTCGTCTGGTTTGACGACTCAGACAACAGCCGCCCCCTCCCGCCCTCCCGCCGCCCCCACCGGCTCCTGCTCCATGTGGTGGCAATCAGAGCCCCGGCCCCTGGACGCCTGCCTTTCATTAGCGGCCAGGCTGCTAGGAGCTCAAATGGGAACATGCTTCTTCCATTAAGAAGAAAAAACCCTCCTAAATCTATAAAACCAAAACTCTCTCATTTTCAAAATGTCCTAATCTGAAAACAATGGTGGGAGGGACTCTGAACCATGTGTCCCTCGGAGTGCCCTCTGCCAGCCTTTAAAAGCCTCCTGGACCCTCCCTGCCCCTCAGTGCCCGGCCCCGCTGCTGTCCTGTGCTCCGCGCCAGCGCAGCGGGGTGGCGGCAGGGCGGCCTGTTCTGGGCTTCCTCCCCCGAGAGACCGCGAGCACAGGCTGTGGCCTGAGCATGCTCTCCCGGCATCTCTACCAGCGCAGGGTCCGTGGTGGCCACGTGAGAGCTCCACGGGAAGCTCACGGCACCCAGAGACGCAGCAGTGGCCCCGCGGAGGGACAGCGCTCCCCAGAAGTTCCCTTCCCACCTCTACTCCCATGCCCCTTGGCTGGTTTCTGAGCAACCTGTTCCCCGCCCCACACCTCCCCCCCCCCCAGGTCAGTGTTTCTCACACTGGAATGTGAATAGAATCACTGAAGGGTTTTGTGAAGATGCAGATTCGACTCTGGGGGGCCAGGAGGGGCCTGACTTCTGCACTGTGGCAGGCTCTCCAGTGACCATCTAGCTCCAGAGGCCCCGGGTGTGTGCCACGGGCACTCCCAGCAGCAGGCCCTCGTCCAGGTCCTAGGATCACTCCAATTAACCACTCAACACTCAAGAGGGGCAGCTGCCATAAGGTGACCGGTCCCGAGACTGTCAGCACCTGTCTCATTCGTCGTGGTTTTCTCTCCTGCCAAGAACAAAGTTACTATCCGCTGGCCCAACGCACCCTGGGTGCCCCCAGCCACGGCCAAATTCCACGGCTTTCTGACTTACTGTGACCCCTTCCCCTTGCTGTCTCCTGTCAGCCCTGTCTGCTGCTCTCCAACACTTTCTTCCTTTCCCCTCCTCGCCAGCCTTGGGGCTACTCCCACTTCCGCGGTGGGGAGTTTCCTTTCCCAGGCCTGAAGGTGGCTGTCAAATCTCCCTGCTGCCAGATTTCTTCTCTGGGCAAAACAATCCCCCCTCACCCCCTTCCCCAGGGGGTTCCACCTCACTGCTGTCCTTCCCGGACCCCCTCCAACTTCCTCACGTTCTCCTTAAGTGAGCCTGAGCTAGTCATGCTAACGATACTTTGGCCTCTGGAATAAGGGGTCCTGCAATTTGGGCGCAGAGCGTTATTACAACTCACTGTGATGGATTAAATATTGGGGAGCCACTGATGAGCGGGGAAGGAAAGGGAGCGAAGGGGGAGGAGCCAGGAAGGAGACGTTCCAACAGTAGTTCTACCTCATTAAGAAGTCTATTCAGGTCTCTATTTATGGAAGGATTTATTTTTCCGTTCCCATTCTAATCTGAGCCTCTAACTTTCCTCCGGTGCACACCAGGCCTGCAATGAAGCAGGGGCCGCAGTCCCATGTCCCTCCTTTGAAGCTCAGCGACGGAGCCAGTCCTGGCAAGTGTTTGGATGTGATTGGGCTTCCCAGGGCCTCTGAAGATGGGGTAACGTAGGTGCATCATGGCCGCATCATTCCCAGACAGCAGGAACGGCTCTGCTAGTAGCGGCAGGGATAGTCCCGGCACTGGCCTCCGTGTCTGGGCCTCCGGCTGGCTCCCTGGCCCTGTCTGGCTCTCCCATGCCCGGCTTGGCCTGCCACGTGCCTCCTCTCCCCACAGTGCGTTCTAAGTCTATCTTGTCTCTGTCGTCCCCTCTTGGGTACCACTGGAGCATCACCCCCGGCATTTAACTTTTTTCTTATTTTCTCTTTCCCTCTTTCTACTTCCTCTCCCCTTCCCTACGGAAGGCCTAGTGGGGGGTCACAATTCTCATGAAAGCTGCCTGAGAGCGAGCTCCCAGGCCTGGAGAGACCGGGCAGCCCGTGGATGGGCGTGGTGGGAACGAGGCGGCACGGCTCCGAGAGCAAGCAGCCGCGAGCGCTTACCCTGGGCTCAGCGCCTGGCACGCCTATCGCATCTCATCCTCTGCACAAATTTGGGAGGCCGTACTATTGTCATCTCTGTTTTAGTGGGTTCTAGCATTATTCCATATACTTGTTTTCAGATAAAGAAACCCAAACTCGGAGAGATGAAGACTAGATGTACCCAAACCACGCAGCTGGTCAGAAGCAGAGTCAGGGCCCCTGACTCTGCCTGTTCCCAGCCCCACGCTCCTACATGCTGAGCTGTGCCGCGTCCTAGGGTGAGGGTTTCGGTTGGGAGGTGGGAGCATCTAACTCCTCGCTCCCTGGACAAACGCCTTCATCACTAGGCATTCCCAGCCTCACATTCTACACCTTGGGTCGTGTGTGTATTTTAGCTTAAACCAGGGGGCAGAGGTGGGCTTCAGAAGCACGAGGAACTCTCTCTGGTTTCCGCTCCTTCATGCTCTGACCAGCTGTGCAGAAGTGTCCCCTCTCCTTGCTGGGGGAAACGATGAGAAAGAAGGTGTTTTCTCAGGGGGGTCAGTCAGTCAGTGGCGGCAGGGTTTTGGGACCCCATAGTTCAACGCACTGACCCGGAACCCCACTAGTCTTTTGCCAAAGTGTTGCTCAGGTGTGTCTGAGCTGCTGGTCCCCAAATCCAGATGCCCTAGTGTGGTGGTACAGAGGACAACGGGGTGACAGGCACAGGTGGAAGAGCTGGCTGGACCCTTACAGTGGGCAAACCTGGAGAGGTGGCTTTTTAGCATTGCTATCATGTCCTCTGCTAGGCAGGGGCTGGGCAGAGACTGGGCAGGGGCTGGGCAGGACCAAAGCCCGTTGCCCAGAGCCCTGGGCAGAGGCCGTGAGGCTGGCTTACCAGGGTTTTGTAGTCGATCTGCTGGCGGATGAGCTTGTCCTCGCTCAGGGAGTAGCGGGCCTCGCCCGTGATGGCGTCGATGGGCCCCTTCTCCATCTGCTGCTTGATGGCACAGAACAGCGAGAAGAGGGGCTCCCCAGCACACTCCTGGGCACGAGAGGAACTGTGCTGGGCCGCCGGTAGGCAGAGCCCAGCCTCCCACAGCTCCCGGTTCCCCGAACGGCTATCATCCCCTCCTCCGCTTTGATCCTCTCCCTGCTCCCATCTGCTTTCTTCTTGGGTGTTCCACTCCCTCCTTCAGATGTACGTCTCTCTGGGACCTCTCGACCACAGTGTCCTCTCCTATCTGCCCTGTCCCTCCACTGTCCTACACTCTTCCTCTCTTCCCTGCCTCTCATCCCCTCTCTGTTCCTTCTCCCCACCCCACTCCACCCCGCTTTCTCTGCAGCCCTATCCTGAGACCGAGGTCGGTCCCTGGTGGTGTGAATGCCTTAGCAAACAAGGCAATAGCTGGATGGTAGGCACATTCCAAATCCCAGGCACATTGTCGGCTGCTCTGCTGCCATAAGCAGCTTCTGTACCTGCTGGGGACCCTTCTCGGCCTCAGTGAGTCTGGGTCTGGTAGAGGCAGGAGGGAGCGAAGAGGGAAAACAGGGAAACGAGGGGTGAATTGTTTTTGGCTAAGGGCTCCTGCAGGGTCCTCTGAAGGACTCATCTCCTCCCACCTGGGAGAAGGCAGCCTGCAAGGCTCTGTCTCCTGACATTGTCAGGAGCCTGCTTTCCCAGTGAGCAGGGGGAACCGCATTTCTTGGTGGGGCACTAACGGCCAGGTCCTGGGGAATGCGGACTTGAGGGCCACCAGGGAAATGGGGCAGGCGGGGGAGGAGGCAGGTGGGTGCCCGGGCTGGCGGGGTAACAGGCAAGGCCAGAGATACCCCTGCAGCCAACCCTACCTTGAGGAACTTGTAGAGCAGGAAGGTGAACCAATTGGTCAACATCTTCTCGGCCACTGACTCAGTCCTGTCACCATCGCCCAGGGAACCAGCAGAGGAAGACAAAGACAGAAGCAGCCGGTCAGACCCCAAGGACTGGGAAGGCAGGGGAGGAAGTCTGCGTGGGTCTTGCTCCCTAAGGTTTTCTGGCCAAATCTTGAGATCCTCAAGAATACTTGGGTCCGTGGGCGCGTGGACACCCCGCAGTGACAGGACGAGCTTTCCCCGCAAGGCTGGGAGATGGCGATCTGAGCACTGGGCTCCCGGGCGGGTCCCCTGGGAATGGGTTAGAGCAGCGCCGTGCGCTTTCTGTGATGAAGGCAATGCTCTCCCTGCTCCGTCTGGCACGGCAGCCACCAGCCTGATGTGCCTACTGGGCACCCAAAGAGTGGCTAGGGTATCTCAGGAGCTCTATTTTTCATTTTATTAATCCTTAATCGATTTATATTTTAAAAGTCATATGCAGCTCATGGTGATCACGTTGGGTCATACAGCCTTAGAGAACTTCATAGTTACTTTAGGTGAGAAAAGACAAACAAAAACCTCTGGAGATAACTAATTTGGTAGACGATAGAAAGGAAGGCGGCAGGAGCAGGGGTCATGGCAAAAGGCTGAATTAGACTGACTCAGTCACCCAAGCTGAAGGCTCAGAGCTGACAGCAACATGGAATTGCATGCCTATGCTCGCTCATCCAAAGAGAGGCCAAAATTATCCTATTTCAAAGGCTTCCATGTACTTTGGAACTTCCCCGGGGAACCTTTCTTGCGTTTCACTTGCAATAACAGAAAGTTCCTTCTTGAGTCTCACTTGCATCTTTCATGCTGCTACCTAAGTCCAATTATTCTTTTACTTTGGAAGCGAAGACACAGCAACAGTATTACTGGCCAAAGGCCACTTTTGGTTGCATCCACTTAGAAAAAACAAACTATAGTCAACCTTGTACTAAGCGTGTGGTCAGCTCGAGAGAAAAACCAGTCCATCCAGGCATGTTTACACAGAGCTAAAAGTTGCAAGTGCCTGAAGATACTAATAACTAAAATCCCAAGGCAGCTGGGTAGCTGCCAACACACATGGAAGCCGAGAGGAGAAAAGAAATAAGACTATTGAAAGGAGCGGGGCAGCCAAGGGCAAGAAGAAGGAAAGGAGATGAAGGCGGGCAGAAGGGAGAGGGTGCATCTGGGAGAGAGTGAATAGAAAACAAGAGCAGGAGACACACAGATTCAGAGCAGGACCATGCCTGGAAATTGTCGGCGGGAGCTCTGGCAGGCTTTGGCAGCCCCAGGATTATGCTGGTGGGTGGCGGCATGGTGGAAGTAAAACAAAAACCAAAACGATCCACCCGACTGTTTCCAAAGCTGTGTGACTGGGCCTGCATGTCGCTGACTTCGCAGCTGTGCAGGCAAAGGCCCACTGCATCCGGGAAGGCCTGGCGTCAATGCTTTGAAAGCCAAGTCTCTGTGCTGGACCTAGCAGAACGGCCTGCCTCAGACCCAGCGACCAAGGTCGGGAAGCAGGCGGAAAACTGTGGTCCAGGCAGAGGGCTGGACTTGGGAGTTTTCCATCTGCATCTACTGGAAGGCTCAAGACACTGCAATAGCAGCCTAGAGGAGAAACGGCCTGCAAGTACGTGGACAGTAGGAATGGCAGCACGGATAGAGCTGGAGAGAGTCTCTGTTTCCTCTAAGGCCAAAGCCGCGGGACCTGGTTATGTCTTTACATTAGACCACTCAGGTTTCGAGTGTCCAGGATGAGGCATCAGTTGTGCCGAGTGGCGGACTGCGCAGAGCCTAGCACAGGTACTGGGAAATTTTGTGGCAGCCCATTGCCACTGAAGGATTTTAACTCAAACACAGCCTGGGCCATGTCTCTCAAACTTCATACGCTTTCAGATCACCTGGGTTCCTTGTTGGAATGCAGGTTCTGATCCAGTGTGTGTGGGGAGGGACCCAAGATGCTGCATTTCCAATAAGCTCTTGAGTGATTTTAAATTTTATTTACTTTTAATTTATTTAGATTTAAATAGTCGCATGTGGTTCATAGCGATTGAAAGCAGATAGATGGCAGAGCGGGTGGCCCGGGGCTAATCCTTCCCATCTTAAGATGGCGAGGTGGGTTTCCAGAGAGGTCTTGGGGTAGCTCTCCTAAATCCAGTTCTGATTTAGAGAAAGCCAGGGGATGGAAGAATCACCTCTGCAGATTCCACAGGAGAAGAATTCCAGCAAAAAAGGTCAAAATCAAGGGAGTATAAGGGCAGAGAGAGAAGGATGCAGAGCAGATATAGGGGCAGATGAAAAAACAACAGGGTAAGCAGGTGGGCTGTGGCCAGTTATAGGCACCAGCATGATGGGCAGGTTCTTCCAAGGAGGTGCGGATGCACCTGGCCTCTGGGCAGGTGGGTTCCTAACCTCACGGGACTTGGCAGTTCCTTCTTGGAGCTCCACCCTGGTCTCCCTGGGGGGCAGGAGGGCCAGGCTGAGTGGGCTAGGGCAGGGGCTCTCTGACCTGCGCCGCTCCCTGCCACCCCTCTCACCTCCTGAGCAGCAGCTTGGGGTGGTTCTTGCTCTCCAGGTTCTTGTCGATGAGGTCGGCCAGCAGCTGCTTCAGCACGTCGGTGGCGTACTCCAGCTTGCTCTGCAGCACCGTCATGATGAGCGAGGCCACGTTGCCGCGGTCGCGCATGGAGAAGCTGCGCTGAGACTCCAGCGTGCGGATGAAGGACAGCAGGAACACCTTGTTGTTGATAAGCTGGGCGAAGAGCTTCAGGCCTTTCTCCACGCGCTCCTGCCGGTAGCCCGGTACCTGCAGAGGAGACCCGGGGGTCTGACTGCCACCTGAGAGGATGAGGCTGGCGGAGCCCCAGTGATGCCCTTCACGGGGTGGGCTGTGCACACTGCTAACCATCCCATACCGTTGCTCACCCACTGCAGCCAGCGCCCACCTGGCTAATGCCATCAAGTCCTTGTCCAGTGCAGGGCACTGTGCCAGGTATCTCCTGGGGCCCCCAGGAGCACTGAGGACCCAGTGTGTGAAAAGCCTGCAATGCACAGCTTGACACAGTTGAATGACTGAATGGTGGCAACTTTATCCTGCTTTACTCTGGAGGTTTTAAACTGGGGAAGGCGAGCCAGGCAGAGAAAGCCCTGCTTGCCCAAGGTCCAAAAGGTGGAGGATGCGGAGCCCGGACATTCGTGCCACTCATTTAGGGAGGCCCCTGGGTTCTGGGCTCAGGGCGAGGTGCTGGCTGGAGGCAGAGACCAGTCAGACCCAGGCCCTGCCCTTGGGTGGTCAGCCAGAAGCCCGCTTCAGGGACGGGGCACTGTGGGCCCAACCTGGAACTCCGAGAGGAGCGCTCTCCTGGAACGCCAGGTGCCTGGCATCAGCAACTCCCACAGGCCAGGCAGCTGGGCACTCACACGTGTTTCCAAGTCCAGTCCATTTCCATTTCCCTTGCTGTGGTGCTGGTACTTGGAAGACCAGGGGAGACAGGAACTTGCCAGAATCAGTGGGTGCTGCCCAGGGCCCCCTGCAGCTCACCCTAGCCAACCCCACATTCCCCAAGGTCTCGGCTGGCCTCCTGCCTGGCTCCCCTCTTCCCCACTCCATGGGCGCCGACAAGGGAGGGACAAGGGAGACTTGGCAGCCTCGCCTTGCATCAGCCCGGGCCTCTGTGTGCCCAGCTGTCTGTCTCCCTTGTGGCTCTGTGACTGTCCCCTTGCATACATGTGCACATGTTTTACTTCCTTTGTCCATCAAACTCCCCAGAACAGCATCTCCACCACTTGTCCTAACAACAATACGTAATGTCATTTCTTGGGCGCCCACCATGTGCCATTGTGCAGTGTTGGCACGTGGTTTATACTGTTCCAACTCAGCCTTCTAAGGACCTTGCAAGGCTGAGGGCGCCCTTTTAGCAGCTTCTCAGAGAAGCTACCGCAGTTGTCCTGAGGCCAGCCGGCTGGTGATGGGTAGTGCTGGATTCCCAACTACAAGCCCCCCACCGTCCGCCATGCGTGGCCATGTCTAATCCTACTCTGTGCCTGGGAGCCAGCTCTGAGTCCTCCCTGCAGCCCCTCGGGCCTCCCAGCAGCTCCAGCTAGCCATCGACGGCAGCGGACCTATGTGTAGGAGTGGCACTGCGGCACCTGCAGAAGAGGAAGAAGACACAGGGCTGACCAGAGGCTCCATTTGGCACGCGGATGCACTCCGGACTTCCCGCCAGGGCTACACTGGCCTCCGGGCAGCAAGGCCCGGGCCCCGGGAGCCGTGGAGAAACAACATCTCCAGCAGCCTGGGGTCTGGACTGGGAGAGACTAACTGACTCATATGTGCAAGAAAGCTCCATCACCTCTGGGCTCTACTCCCTCATCTATAAAATGAGAATATGAGTGCCTGTGTCATAATGTTTTATGGGCATTAAATAAGATAATGTATGTAAAGTGCTTGGCGCACGCGGGGCGCACTTAAACAGCAGTTTTATTACCTGCCCCTCCTTCTTCACTGGCTGCTTTTCACGGATCCCTCCCCCAAGGGTTTCCCAGATATGTGGTGCATTGGCACAGTGTCTCGGGGTGCAGAAGGCAGGGATTTCTCCCCATTTTATGAAAGGAGAGATGGTAGTGAAGTGTCTTGGTAAAGAGTATCCAGAACAATTCCCCTTTGTAACTTGCCACCCTGCCCCCTACGCAAATGCCACTCTGAAACAAGACTTTCTTTATTCACCAGATGGTTCGATAATTTAGTCGAAGTCTGTGAGTATAAAACTGGATAGTAAATTTTAATTGTAACCCAATAGGGTAGAGTTTAGGAGGCAATGATAGGTTGCAAATGGGGTGTGTGGTTACTGTTTGCTTTCTGTTTTTAAAAGACTGGTGCGTGACCAGTACCTGGGCAGCTACTTCCCCAAATGCCCGAACGTCACCCGGACGGCCTGAGCGGCCCTGGGGGCTCGCTGTCCAGGACAGCCTGAAGCCAGGGACACCTCCTTCTTCACACACACCCACCACTCCTGCCCAACCCGCGGGCAGGCCTCCCGGGGGCTGGAAGGGTCGGAAAGCACCGCTTTCGATGAGTCTGTGACTTCCCTGGGAACGTTTCTATACCCAGAAAGCCAAGAGGGAGAAACTCCTCTGGTGGCAAAGAGGAGTTGGAAAGAAACGAGAAAATGACCCACACAAGCTCTCTGGATCTCGTTTGGGAGGCTGGATCTCACATACCTCGGGCTAATGTGAAATGGTAAAAGTTGATTTCTGTCTGCAAGCAATTAATTTGTGAGTTTAATGGAAATGAAAAAGTCATATGTTCTGTGTATACATCCAAAGATTGAAAGCAGGTTCTCAAAAAGATATGTGTACACTTACATTCATAGAGCAGCATTATTTACAACAGCCAAAAGGTGGAAGCAACAAAAGTGCCCATTGCCAGAGGAGTGGATAAACTAAATGTGGTATATGAAATGGACTACAATTCAGCCTTGAATAGGAAAGAAATTCTGTCATAGGCTACGACATGGGGGAACCTTGAGGACATTTTGCTAAGTAAACCAGTCACTAGAAAGCAAATACTGTATGATTCACTTGTATGAGGTACCCAGAGTGGTGAAATTCATAGAGACTGAAGGCAGATGGTGGTTGCCAGGAGCTCAGGAAGGCGACTAGGGAGTGATTGCCCAGCAGGCACAGAGTTTCAGCTGGGGAAGATGCAGAAGTTCTGGATGGTGGTGATGGACGCCCAACAATGAGAGTGTACTTAGTGCCACCGAACTGTGTACTTAAAAATGGTTGAGGTCTAGCCGGTGTGGCTCAGTTGGTTGAAGAGTTGTCCCGTGGACCGAGGGGTCACAGGTTTGATCCCCAGTCAGGGCACGAGTGAGAAGGCAACCAACAGATGTTTCTTTATCACACTGATTCTTTCTCCACTCCCCACCTCCTCCACCGAAAGCAATGAAAAAAGAAATGTCCTTGGGTGAGGATAAAAAAAAAATGGTTGCAATTTTATGTTTATTTTACAAAAATTGAAAAACAAAACTGTGTGACCTGCTAGATTCAGAGCCCATGCCCAAGAATTAGCTATCTTGTGGGCTCCAACTCAGCTCATAAGCTGGCTGTTATTGGTAAAGCTGGCTGTTAAGTCCCTTGTGAGCAAAGGTTGGGATCAGAAAACCTCCTCTCAGAATAAAGGCAAGGAAAACAGAGACTATGCAGGCTTTAGGGAAATTTTAAGGAGCCAGATGAGGGATAAGGCCACAGTGGGATGCATGTGATTTATAATGGGGCCCATAGGAACAGAAGTTCCTATGTAAACGCACAGCTGCTACACTCCTTTGCAGAAGTCATGTAGACACTCCCTCTGGCCAGTACCTGCAAAACCACGCGGCTCCTGAGCGATGGGTATGCTTTATTTTATGGACAATATAAATCTTGGAACTAGTCTTATTTTCTGTTGTTACTTTGGCCACAATCTTCCATCCATCCTAATAAGTACCCAGAGCCATAAGGCATGACACTGATGTAGCACCTCAGAAGTCAAGTGCACAGGCTTGTTGTTGGGAGGGCAGACTCTGAAGTCTAACCACTTGGACCTGAACCCTAGCCTGCTCCCTCCCAGCCGCGTGGCCCAGAGCTCTCTGTGCCCTTAGTTCTGTCGCCGACTTTGGAGGGCCCATGGGCAGCTCAATGAATGTATGCATCTCAAGTTCTCAAATCTGGGCCAGTCAGTAGTCAACTAATAGTAAGTATTCTTTATGATTATTATTTTGTCCTGGTTTCCTCATTTATATTTTTCACTTTTCTCTGGTGCTTATCTTCACAATTCATTCTGAATCTCTTTCAGAACAAAGGGCAGTATGAATATATGCATAAGCCAGATCGTATGCTAGACAGTAAGAGGGATAAAATGTTCAGAAGATGAGGTCCCTGCTGGTACAAAAGAGAGTTAGGTACTCATCACTCACTTTCCACTTCCCGTCCCAGGGCTTCACTTATTTTTTCCACGTACATTTATTGAGCACCAACTAAGTGGTGAAATCATCATATCGCAGCTTCTTAAATAAGGGTCCATGAACTCCCAACATTTGCCTGCCAGATTTCTTGTTTCTGTGAATATGCAGTTTTTCTGAGGAGAGGGTCTTGCATTCAATTCTGAAGGAATCCATGACCCCTAAGTCCCAAAGGCTTTCTCCCATCTCTGCTCTGAGGTTTCCTGACTTGGCCCCACCTCCTCCAGAGGGACTGACTGGTGCTGACAACTGGGGGTCCCTGGGCAACGTGCGTCCTCCCTACTCCAACCTCAGCTTTCTCGCCTCTGGATAAGGCGGCTCAACTTGAAGGTTCCCCACATCTTTCTCTGTGCCAACGCTGACGGAGAAGGGCTTGGCCATGGGTTTGGCTCTCACCTCGAGGTCCCGGAGGACAGGATGGTCTTCGATTCCTGGAAATAGCACCCGCATGGTGTAGGTTCTGTAGTCCAGGAAGGGAATCCCGGCCCCGTCCAGGTCGCTGGTCAACTCATGGATGTCTGTCTGCAGTTCGGCAAAAGCTGGCACAAGAGAAGCCCATGAGACTCCTGGGTGGGGTGGGCCCAAGAGTTACCCCCAACTCGGAACACTCAGAACCCTCACCCAGGTCCCTGGGGGACATGAGCATTGGGCCTCAGATGGGCAGAAATAAGAAAAGGGATGTTTTACGTTAAGTAGCTGAGGTGAACAACACAGGCACGGGGGAAAGGTGCAGCCCCAGGGAGCTTGTCTTGGGCCAAATTCCTTCCAAGGCAAGGATGGGGGACAGGCCATCCAAGGACCTGTGCTGCTGCGGGGCCAGGAGCACCCTCTGAAGGTGAAGGGCTTTCATTTGTAAAATGTGAGCAGGGCACGGAACCAGAGGAATGATGGGTGGGGGCGGAGGAAAGGGGGAGGTTCCAGGGATGAAGGGCCTATTTCTGATTCTGTGTTTTATGGCAGGTTTCCTTTTAAGAGTTAAGAACAATTTCTTCTGAAGTCCCAGTTCTGGGCCATGCAGGTCACTAGAGCCATCAAATCACCAAATGGGGCCAGATGGAGGCTCTGCCACACTAATACATTCCTTCCGTATAAACACGCAGGGTGGGTCTTTGTCCTTCCTTGCACAAGTTGATGCTACTCAGTGGTGAATTATGGGCTGTGCATGGGCACTGCTGTCTGTCGTGGCAGCTCAGGTCTGCAGACAGTCACGGAGCTGCAGGCATCCTCTAGCCCAGGGAAAGCCAGCGCAGGTCAAAGTTGTTACACAGCGCCAAAGCTGGGGTCACACCCTGCCCTAGGCAAGCCCGTATCCCGGGCTGCCCTCCGCCACTGCAGGAAGTCAGGGGTGACGTGCCCACCACCCACCCTCCCTGCCCTTCCTTTCTTTGTGGCACACGCACGCACGCACGCACACACACCCAGAATGGGTTAACACATGCTGACAAAAAAACAACCGGTGGATGTTAACTAAACAATATTTCCTTCTATTTATACAAACACAAAAATAGAGAAAAAAAAATACTTGAGGGACTCAGAAGAGATTCAGAAGCCCTGTGTCGCTCTAGAAAAGCCCTTGAAAAGCGAGCCCTGTGTCCAGTGAGCTCTGGGGATCCCAGAACGCCACACGGCTGCCCCGGGCCCGGGGCCCTGCCGCCTCCTGCAGCGTTGGCTTTGGACCTATGGAGCTTGAGGTTTCGGGGCTTGAGGATACCAATGCTGCTGGTGTGACGGAACAACGGGGATGCCAGCCGGGCCATGGAGAGGCTGCTGCAACCTCTCCTGGGCTGCTCTCCTCCTGCGCCCTGGGCCCCGGCTCTGGCCACGCTGACACAGGGGGTCCTGCCAAGGAGTCGCTCCGAAGCAGAGCAACCCTGACGCGTCCAAGCCAAGCTTACACTAATGCGCGTGCACGTGTGTTTGTGAAAGGGGCATCAGTAAGCCTTTTTGGCAAGTACTGTCCCCAAAAGCCCTGAGGAACACTCACGTGCGTTCTGAGTGAGGAACGCACGCGTGTGTTTGTGGAAGTGCATGGGAATGTGTGCGGGAGCATGAGTGTGAGTGTGTGTGCATGAGGGATCGTCTGAGTGTGTTTGTCAGGGAGTGGAAGGCCTGCGAGGGCCCAAGCTGGGCCTCCTCTGAGTTCCTGTGTAGGTGATGTCTTGGCTCATGGTCACGTCTTCAGGAAGCCACCTTCCTGGACCCTGCAAACATTCAAGAGCCAGCCCTGGGCACCCTGAACAATACTCTCATGGTTAATCCTACATGGGGCTCCACACGTCCCTCCTCCCGCCCAAGCCCGGGCGGGGTGGCTGTCCCCAGGGCTGCATCCAGGGCTCTCCTGTGCCTCCACTGATGCTCAGCTGGCCTGACCGTGAATGCCTCCTCCCCTGGAACATTCTGAGAGGAACCTGGCGTGCCACACTCCCCTCAGCAGCCCCTCCCAGTGGGGGTGCTCAGCAGGCGGGGAGGAAGGGGAGAGAGCTGGCTTTTTATCAGTCTGCAGCTTCCCTTCAAGTCACCAATTGCGCCACCAACATTCAAAGCCTCTCGCCTGCCACACATAAAAGAGATTCTAATCACTACTCCTAATTAGAGGAGAGAGTACATTGTGGAGAAAAAAATTAAGCAGCGTAAATATAATAAAAGGCAGTAATTAACAGTCCCACAAGGCGGATGCTGCGTTGACAGCTAAAGGATGCAGAGAGGGGACAGAGTGGACCCACCTCCCACCAGAGAGAGCCCCAGGTACAGGACGGATTTACTCCGTGTATAAATCTCCAGCCAAGAACCGGCTCAGCCCTCTAGGTGACTCACAAAACGATGTCCAGGGGGTGACAAGAGTCTGACTCCTTAATTTCCTTCTTGGATTTAGTGCAGCTGATTTCACTTCATGGTGCACTGGTAATTTTTAAAAATACAAGCTGTGAAACACTCTTGCTTCTAAATCTCGATCAGCCCTACAGCCGTACCTTCCTTCGAAAGGAAGAGAGCTGGAGATCGCCCAAATGAGTCCTGTCAAGACACCCCAAGTCTCCCCAAGCAGGGAGCATAAAAGCTCCTGGGCCAGGATTCTGGGTTGGAAGCGGCCCTGGTTGGATTTGAAATGATCCCAGTTTGCCTTGGGGGAAGATGGCAGGGGACACCTTGAGGAACAGGGACAGGAGGCTTTAGCTTTATCTGGCCTTGCCCGGGTGGGGCTGGCTAGGATATGGGACTGTTCCGGGCACAGGCTCATTGGCCAGAAAAAGTTCTGCAGGTGGATACCCAGCCCCCAGCGCTGGCCACGGCTGCCCAGCCCACTGCTCGTGTGTGAGACACACACGTACGCACACGCACATCCCGCCTCCAGCATGGGGCCTCGGCCACCCAGCCACTCAGTACCTTCCTTGCACTCCAGGGCCACGCGGGACTCCAGGTTGTCCATTTGCATCTGCAGCCGCTTCAGCGTGAGGTCGCTCTCGCGGGACTTGCGCTTGTAGGCAATGAGCACGGCCACAATGAAGATGATGAGGAGGCCGCCCGCCACGGCAATGCTGACGATGGCGGGCAGGCTGAGTGGGCTGTCTGGCGCGATGTACACCATCCCCGGGGAGTACTCCATGCCACCGACGCGGGCCTGGGGGCAGAGCGGGCAGGAGGGAGCTGGGTGTGGGGACAGAACATCCAAGGGAACAGCCCCAAGTCACCAATGAACTGGCGGCCAAGGTTCGACGCGGGGAATGGCTCCAGGGAGCAGAATCATCTTTGGTTGTCAAAGCAGATAGGAGGGCATATAGGGGTTGCGGGAGGGGGTTCGAATGGCGTAGCACAGGCCACCCCTACAGCGGGAAAAATCACACATTCTCTCATTCATGAGACAGCATGGTCATCTTCATAAGGTCACAGCACATGACTGGGATCTAAAAAGTGTGACATGATGACATCAATGACTGGCTCCTGAACATTCATCCCATTGTAAGAATGATATTAGGGACCTCCCCAGGCCGACAGTGGTCCTTCCCTGAGTCTCTTGCTCACAGTGAACAACTTAGCACATCATTTAATGCTGGTTCGCAATGCCCCCATGGTGGCACCAGCCAGTATGGAAGGAATAACAGTAGAGAAGGAAGAAGTCAGAAGTAAGACAGGGAGGGGAACTAGGGCTGTGGGGTAGATGGAGGAAAGTTAAAGCAGGACAGAATCTCCTCCCGGGAAGCCCTGGTGGCCAGGGACCGAGCCGGACTGCTCAGGCCTCCGTGTCCCTATGCCCAGTCTGTCCAGGACAGACAGGGCTGCTCCGGCCTCACCATCACTTTGTGCCTGCCAATGAGGTTGGGTGACTCGCAGAGCAGCTGCACATCCGACACAGTCACGGCGCACGGCTTCTCCCCGACCAGCACGGTGTAGTTCAGCTTCACGTTGCCCCCGGCTACGGGTGGGATCAGGTTCTTTCCCTGGATGGACAAGAAAGCCCAGTTCTCACCCCCAAGTCAGGGCCACAGCTACTAGCTAGCCCCACGCCCTCCCACCCGGAGCGTCCAAGTTGCTGGCGAGCTGTGGAGAGGCCGCCTTCCCTGCATAAGTCTCCCCCTGAAAAGCATGGTACATTTACCATCTTCCCCCCTTCCTCAGTGGGAAATCAATAATCAAAGTACTCTTTCAGCTTATCCCAAATGCAGCCTCAGAATCCTTCTTAACACAGAGCTATAGTCAGTCACTACCAGTTGATTCAAATTGTCATAGCAGTTACAGTTTGCTATCCACATGCCAAAGAAGCTCTATACTGTGGTTTTCAAGGGCTACACAGGAGGAAGCAGGATGAGCCTTGGGCCTCCCAGGTTCTGGATGCAGGAGACACAGAGAGCTGGGCGGTCAGATGGCCAGGGTGTATCTGGCCGTTCTGATCAGGTCTCCACGGCATGTAAAAGAGTCAGCCTCTCAACACCAACTCAGACAGAGTATTCACATCCTCTGAGCTGTAACACAGTCTCTGCCAGGTACTCCAGTCACGAAATGTGGCAGGAGCCCGAGGCTTCTGGCCTCCTCCTGTGCCTTGAAAAGCCCCCTCCTCCCATGCAGCAGCCTCCTTTCTCCCCACCTCCTACCCTCCCATCTAGCATCGGCCTACCTTTAGGATGATGGGTGTGCCCGGCTTGAGCTCCAGGGTTCCTGAGGGACCAAAGGGCTCAAACACAGGATTGGGATAGTAGGTGAAATTGGTCTTGTTGAGGATTAGCAGGGACTGGACATTGTCCAGGATGAAGCCGAATTCCTCGGGCCGCTCAGTCAGGTCGGACTGGTGGTCGGGCCCCAGAGCGAGGGCCGGAGCCTGGCAGGTCATCTCGGTTGCGTTCAGGACCTCACAGAGCTGTGGAGGGGAGACAAGACTGAGGAGCGTACCTCTGCACACACACGGCCCCACCGCACCCACCGGGCTACCTGCGATGCTGCCATACAGCCTGGCATTGACACGGGACAGTTATGCATGAGTCAGAATTCCTTTGCAGCCAGGACCACACAGCCTGGACACTAATGAGCTGTGCAGCTGGCACCTAACTCCGCTTTGCCTGTGGTGGGTATAGCAGGGGCTAGGTCATCACTAAGCCACTGAGTGGAACTGGGGGTCAGAAGGATGGAGGAGTATGGGTATAAAACCCCATACACTCCAGAAGCGATTGCTCCCCCACGACTGTGTCCTAAGGTGTGAAAATGCCCTCATTCAGCTCCCCCAACCCACCGTCCTACTGTTTAGGACTGTCACACAAAGTGGGTCACTTCAGGGAAGTGGCATGCTGAGCGGACAGCCCCCATGACCCCTGCCAGCCCTGGACTCACATTGATGTGCTCCTTCCCTCCGTGCTTGGCACGGATCTGGGGGTTCTGGATGAGGTCCAGGTGAGTCCCCCACACAGCGATGGGTGTGTTTCCACTGACCGGGAAGAAAGAAGGAGGCGTGTAAACACAGGAACAGGATTAGCAAGGATGACGATGATGATAATCAATCAGGCTGAGCTCCGACATGAAAGACAACGATAACCAGTAGGCATGACAATGTTCACGGGGACATCGATGACAAGCTGACTGAATAATAATAAGGAGGAGCTCTCAGCAGCCAAGGCAAAGACAGTGATGACCAGATGTCTGTGGCCATCGTGTGCTGAGCTCATCCAGAGTGTGGACACCCTGTGGAGGCCAGGGCTGCAGCTCGGCCTTCTCGGCTCCCCCAGACCTCCTGACTCCCGCCAGCTGCTTCTCTGCAGCCCCCTGGTGTCTCTCCCTCCAGCCCTCACCAGCCTTAGAAAATTTTTCACAGTGCCCTTGGCCTTATGGACCAGGCTATCTCCAACCAGACTCTCCAGAGTGAGCAGAGCCTCCTGCCCCAGGACACCCGTACTACAAATTTCCCCTTCGAGGCTTCAGTCAGATTAGGCCTGGGGAAGACAGAGGCCCAGATATTGGGAACCTCCTCTAGGAATGCAAATATGAAAGGCCCCAGGACTAAGGTGTCCTAGACTTGGGGGTGTCAGCCAGAGAACCGACGATGGGTGGCGGGGATCAGGAGATTCATCTTTGCATAGCTTTTCAAAGGCAACCTGGATGTCACTGTCCTGCTTTAGGGTGGCTGAGAAGCTGACATGGGGTGGGGGCTGTCTTCCTTGGGGACAAGTCAGAGCAAAGGGAAGGATCACTTTTTCCGGAACCAAGAGTGTATCTTCCGGATGAATCTTACTGTCCACAATAGTTGCGTATAAGCTTGGTGGGCAAAGAATCTTGGATGCCCACATTCAGTTCTACCCCTTTATCCATCTGTTCCTCCACCCCCCAAACACATTCCTGTGAAACCATGGGTTCTTCTGCCCGTGGCAGCGTTGGAGAATGAGCTTTGATATCCAACCATCTCCTGATCTTCTCAATCAATTCAAGATGCATTTATCCAATGCCCCCGTCACTGTTCCTGAGTAACCCAGGCTGTTGTAAGCAATGCAGAGCCACGAATTCTGCAGGGCGCCCCCTCAGGGTGGGGTTCACCTGCAGCAAAACCCTGCAGCCACTGGCAGACTCAGAACCTGCCGCCACCCTCCCTCCTGATGTCAGCATGACTTGGGATCAGCTGCTGAGAGCCAGGAAGGCTGGCACCTCCATTTCGGTGATGATGACATAAGGAAGACTGAATTAAACCAGGCTGTGACTTCCTCAGGGACTTTGTCTCAGGCACAGGAGGCTATGCCAGCTTCCTGGACCAAGGGTCTGGGGGGAAATCCTGGAATATTTTTTTATAAGCTATTTCCCCTCTCCATGCCTTACGGGCTTCATCTCCTGTGAGATCGTGGCTACAACTTATAAGGTTTGGGCCTTAGAGAGTAAATTGCTGAGGACAATCAAATCTCTTATCGGGAAAGCTGCTTTTCCTGTGGCAAAGCCACACAGAGAATAAATAAAGGGCCAGAGAATAAATACTTTGGGCTTCCCAGGCCACTTGGTCTGCCACAATTACTGAGCTCAGCTGTTGTGGTGCTAAAGCAGCTATAGACACAACATATACAAATGAGCGTGGCTGTGTTCCAATAAAGCTTTATTTACAAAAGCAGGTGGACGGCCATATTTGGCCCCCAGTCTGGAGTTTGCCAACTCCTGGTTCAAGAGACTGTTCTCTGGATGGGACGGGTCTCCAACTCTTGCCTCAGGTTGTGGAGACCACATCTTCATGCCTCCCACCCCCCGGCCCCCGAGCAGATAGTGGGAGGGCTGAGGACGAGGACGTAGGGGCAGGGAGGAAGAGGGTGCTGAGCCAGGTGCTGCACTGCGCCTTTGCACCTCCCTGGATTCTCCCAGCTGCCCTCGGAGGAAGCAGACTGGTGGGAAACCCTGGACCCAGGGAGGTTAGGCAACCTTTAAGGTCACATGGCTGGTAAGCAGCAGAGCTGGGCTCAGCCCACTCCTTCTGACCCTGAGCCCCTGTTCCGTTACCTGCGTGGCCCCTGATGCAGCGGTTTCCCCAGGGGCCTTGCGGTCAGGACGTCCTCTGCAGGGCCTGGGGAAGCAGACTCATGCTGCCTGCCTGAAGCGCCTTCCCTGGGGGGAGACACCCCCACTCCCCGTGCCACCAAGCCAGGACTGAAAGGGTCCCCAGGGACCCTGGAGTTTCCCAAGCCCCAGGGAATCACTGAAGAGATAGAGACCCTGGGAAATTATGCAAATGACCCAAGTCAGCTTGTGACTGGCTGAGCGAGGGAACACTTTCTGCAACAGCATTGTACCTGGCTCCCTGGCCTAAGAGATGGGTTCTGTGGACTCCTGTCGCAACTGGAAAAAGAGGAGGGAATGAGACCCAGTCCCTGCCCATGGGGAGTTTTTGCAGTAGTGGGGAGGACAAAGCAAACAGGCAAGTGGAGGTCACGGTGCTAAGACCAAGACCAGCAGGAGGCTGCAGAAGCACGGAGGACGGGCTCTCTAACCGAACCCTGCTGCTCAGCATGTGCTTGCTTTCCTTCCAGGGCAGGCCAGGGGTACGCTGGACCTATCTTACTCCTCCTCCTCCATTCCTCAGCAGGACTTGAATCATTGCCTGTACTTGCCAGAAGTGAGGTTTAGGGGAGTGGGGCTGACCCCGCCCCCCGAACAGTCACTGTGAGATGGCTACATGGCCTCTGAACCTCAAATCAGAGGCTGTGGCCTCCTGTTGGTCAGAGCTTGGCCTCCAGGACCGGGTCCTACTCAGAGATGTTCTCCGTGAAAGGAGGGAGCCACCGTAGTCTAAGGTCTTTTGATTTGGGGGTGTTGTTAACCAACCCCAGTTCATCAGCCCCCAAAGCAGGACTTGGCCCCCAGAGCTCTCCTTGGCCTTCGAGGGACGAGGAAGGACAGTGAAGGGGGGCAGCTCCTACCTGACGATGCTCCACTCTGGCTCAATCCGCACAATGGTGGGGTCCTCCACGTACTGGAAGAACAGGTCCTGGCGGATCTTGGCCCTGTCCACCTGCACCATCACCTTCATCTCCATCACCTCCTCTGAGGATGTGGTGTTGCAGACGATGTAGGAAGAAGAGCGCCTGGAGGGAGGGAAGACATGGAGCTGGGCTCCTGGGGTCCGGGAAGGATGGGGGTCCTGGGTCAGGGCCTTCTCCCCCATCCCTGTTTGTCTAGCTCCTCAGAGGCGATGGTGAGCACTGACTCAGATGTAAAACTTTGGGAACTGCGGACAAAGACAGGTCCTTCCAGCCCTCTCTCTGACTAGGCCTCATCCTGGGGCCCTATCTTCAGCCTGCCTAACCCCACTCTCAGCAAGAATCCTGTTAACTCAGTTTAGCAAGAATCCCCCCAGCCCTTGATATCTGAGCGCCCTGGCTGGCCTTCAGCAAGAGTCCTGTTAAGTTGGTTTAGTAAGTATTTCCTCTTAGTAATTTTCTACCCACTGACCCCTCACTCTGCTTGTTGGGTGTAAATCCCCAGCTGCGTGTGCTGTATTTGGAATTGAGTCTCTCTTCCCTATTGTGATAGTTTGACACCTACGGCAACAAGCTTGAATCAACTCTTTACCCAAGTGTCACAGTAAGTTTTTCTTTGCCATTATCTCTGCCAGGCCTGGCCTGGTCTGACTTCAGGTCTGTCATGGTGCTCAGCATAAGCCCTTCCCGAGAAAACCTTTCTCTGCAGGGCCTCCAGCCTGTGGAGGGATTGGATCATCCCCCTGCTACATCTCCTAGAATCCTAGAGTCCTTCATTAGACGCACCTCCTGCCTCCCTGGCCCCCAAGCTCCCCGATCATGGAAGGCAGGCCCTTCTGGGGTTGGATGGCGGAAGCAGGGGAGAGCGAGTCGGCCATCTGTGGAGATGGGTTGTAGTTACCTGGGGGAGCTGCCCCACCAGCTCTCAGCAGTGCACGCCGGCTCCACAGCAGCTGGTGAGAAGCCAGCCCAAAGGGAGGGGCTCTAGATTCCAAACTGTGTCCTGTGGAACCCTGGGTTCTGTGCAGTAGGTGCTATGGGGCACCAAGAGGAAATGGTGGGCACAAGGGGCCCATTCAGGGAGGGGTCCCTGGCAGGTCTTCAGACTGAGCCAAACACCCACAGCCAGTGGTACCCAGAGAGACCAGTCACGTTCCAGGGAGGAGGAAGCATTTCCAGAGGTCAGCCTGAGGACGCCTGCTGCCTGGGCAGCGCCGCTCCACTCTGCGCCCCACACCCCAAAGCCTGCCCTGCCGTGAGTTACCTGTGGAAGAGGCAGGGCTGCTTCCCGAACATCACCACCACATTGCTGCCCGCGTTCAGGTTGGTGCCCGTGATGGTCACCGGGGTGCCCCCGGACATGGGCCCCCGGCTGGGCTTCAGGTCTGAGAGAGTCAGCGTCTGTGTAGAGAAGGATCTGGCCTGAGCCACAACCAGGATGGGCCGAGGAGGCTTCTCCGTAGGTCTCAGGCAGCACCCACGCCTCGGTGCCACCCGCTGGAACCCTGTTTGTTGGTGGCCTCCCAAAAGACCAGCAGATTTTTTAGGCTTTAGTGGAAAGGCAACTGTTCTGACCCCTGGGGTTTTCATTTCTGTATTAATAATAGTAATAATATCAATAATAGCTGCTCTGTCCTGATTTTTAAAAAAGATTTTATTTATTTATTTTTAGAGAGAGGGGAAGGGAGAGAGGGAAACATCAATGCGTGGTTGCCTCTCATGCGCCCCCTACTGGGGACCTGGACTGCAACCCCGGCATGTGCCCTGAGTGGGAATCGAACCAGCGATCCTTTAGTTCGCAGGCTGGCACTTAATCCACTGAGTCACACCGGCCAGGACTATGTACTGATTTTTTTTTAAGTGGCAGGCTTTATAGCTTTGCATATATAAATAATTTAATATATATATTAAATATATATGTAATTTAACCACCCAATCAATCCTACAAGGTGGGTATTATTACCCATCTCACAGAGATTCAGAGGTGTTGGGTACAGTTTCCAAGGTAAGTAACACAGCTGAAAAGCGGTGCAGCTGAGAGCTATCCTAACCCCGGCCTCTGGCTCTTCGCCTCCTCTCCAGCCTCCACACGCCTTCGCTTTCGGAAGGCGACCCACGCCTTCCGCAGGCCTCTTGGGGGGACGGGTGGGGGGTGCTTCCCAAAGCACCCGGGCCGAGCGGCGGGGTGTGGGGGCTCCAGGGAAACGAGGGGGCGCGGGAGGCGGGCACAGACGGGTCAGCAGATTGAGCGGAGTCGACTGGGTGACGGTGGGGTGTGGGCGCTGAGGACTGGGAGTTGCAGTGTTCTTTCATTAGCATTTTAATGGAAAAAACTTTCTTCAGTCCCAGGTGAGAAGACTGTATCTGCATTTAAATGAAGATTTCATCCTCCCCGCCCCCCACGCCCTGCCCCCTCGAAGAATTCTGCACCGGCGGTCGAACCCACTCAGCTCCTGCGAGCTGGCAGGCAGCCTCCCCACAGAGCGGCCTGGATCCGCACGCAGCACCGGAGGGGAGAAGCCTGCCGCCCGCGGCCCGGCCTGGCAGCGCCGCGGCGCCCACCGAGCCCAGGGTCGCCGTATTCGGCCTCTGCGGCCGGCTGGACCGGAGACGCGGGCCGGGACGGAGTAAAGGGCGGAAAGGGTCTCCCTTTCTCTGCGCCGCCTAGATCACGCTGTGTGACTTGGGACAAGTCACGTAACCTCTCTGATCACAAAATCAGGGAGCTGGGTCAAAAGGCGGTTATCCCAAAGGTGCCTGCCGGTTTTCTGGGTCTGTATTTTGGTGTCATCTCCTACAAAAGGTTCCTTTGCCCCCACTGTCTGCAAAGGGAGAGCTTTCGGGCCTGGGCCAGGCTGACCTCCCCAGAGAGGGAAGGGAAGGCGTGACTGTGTGTGTGTGTCTTTGCACCGGTACTGCAAGGAGGGAAGGGGATAGAATCCTAGAGATCTGATCAAAAGCGGGGAAGTTAAGATCCGTGGGGGATGAAAGGAGAGCCCGCTGCGTGGCTGCCTGGCTGCCTGTGGGTGGGGGGCGTGGAAGGGGCAGAAGTGAGTGACCTCAGCTAGTTTTGCTGGGGTTGTTTGGGGCAGTGGGGAGAGGATGATATGGAGGCTGTTTTAAAGTTGTGAGAAACTATAAATTATTCAAGACATGCTTCATAAATATTTTACGACGGGTTTGCACGGGAAATCAAACCCTACCTTATTTGCCACCTCTTCGCTGGGCTCCCTGGTTGGAGGTAGAGGGAAGGAAAAGCACTCTCCCCAGGGAGCGCTCCAGGGACAGAGCCCGTGACAAGGCCAAGATGCACCGCTGTGTCTGGCCTGATGTGGGGAGGGAAACTGAGGGAGACCCGCGTCTTATCCCCGACCTCGGCCCTGCAAGGCGCACCCCAGCATGCCCCAGGCCTGAGAAGCAGCCCTGGAACCCCAGAGGAGCCCTGGGAAGGGGCTCCCCAGCTGAATCCAACCCCCAAGGAGCGCGAGGCTTCCTGTCGCCAGCTGCTGAGAAGGCTCTGAGATGCTGGAGAGCACGGGAGGGCCATCCCGTCCCTTCCCAACTCCCCAGTGAGAGTCACTGCGATCTCTGCCCCTTGTTCCCACTATGAACCCCTAGGAGCTCTATGGGGAGGCCCTCAACAACCAGGCCTTGAAATACAAATCGGTGCCTGGGCGTGGAGACGGGGGTCCCTACCACCATCCCTCCTCTTCGAGTGAACACATAACACCAGGACAGTTCTTCAGCGATGTCCGTCCAATAGAGAGGTGACACGAATGTGTGCGTCCCAGAGACCCATTGGACTGATGCTTTTGCCTTGTGGCAACAGCTCTCCTCTTTCCTGACTTGCCTTCCTGCCTGCCTCTCCTCTTCCCCCTCACCCCTTCTCTCGCCCTCCCTCTGCTCCCATCTTCCGGTTCATTTCCCCGTCCTACCTTGTCCCAGGAACCACCTCCCACTACTCAGGATCCACACGGGAAACTGTATCCTGCCTGGTAGAGATCCTGCCTTCCCAGAGGCTCCTTCCAGGAAGCCTCGCCTCAATACCTTCATCCAGCCGCATCCCACTCAGGTAGGCAAGGCTGACCTTCCCTGAGAGCAGAAGGGGCTTCTGCGTATCTACCACAGAGACAATGTAAGGATTTGACGTCTGAGAGCAGGTATCAGCAGGCACATGGTAGCTGCTCGGTAAACACTACCTCCAGGCCAGTGGTCCTCAGCCCAGCCGGCAGGTAGGATCTGCTGGGAGCTTTGTGCCCCAGCCGTAGGGTGTGAATTAGTTCAGAGGGGCTCCAGAGCACTTTGCTTAAAGCCCCCCAGGAGACTCCAACATGCAGGGAAGTTTAGAACTGCCAAAGCGCCATGGCGGCTGGCAAAGAAATCAACCACCTGGCTTCATCTCCACATACAGGCTGGTCTGATGGAGGAGCAGGGTCACAAGGAGGCAACACTGAGCGCCCCTGCAGACAGATGCCATGGGTCCCCAGTGAGCAGGAGCAGGGCCACCCTGGGAGAAGGCTGAGGAGCAGGTGGTGAGCAGGACTTGGAAGGATGGGAGGATGTGGTTGAGAGCAAGGCGGGGAAGGAGACAGAGAGGGAAGGGGGTCAGACCACACAAAGCCTGGAGCAACAGGGTTGGAGAGGCAGGGCGGCCAGACCAAGGCACTTGGAGGAGAGCTCGAGGCAGTGGGCACCCTGGGCTCTTCTTGAGGCCGGGGCTGCCATGTTGGAAATGGTATTCCGGCGTGGTGGAGGGATTGGGACAGGCTCAGAGCAGAGGATTTAAAGAGGCCATTGTGGTGGTAAACAATGGCAAAAGTAAGACTCCAGGACACGGTGATGGAGCAGAATTAGAGGAAGCTGAGTCACAGTCCAACACTATGGGCCTGAGTGACAGGCCAGTGACAGAAATGGGCAAGTGAGGGTGGCTCCCTGTTTGTGGGAGCCGACAGCCTGGGTGGGTCGTGGGGGGTGGGTGGCGGGACATTCGGGGGCAGTGGTCTTTGAGCTAGTCACCGAGGGGAGAGGCCTGGCCGGAGGCACGGCAGAGACAGCTAAGGCCCAAAGGCAACAGCAGCTTAACAAGGTGGTGGCTGTTCCAGCACCATCCACGCTGTCACTGCCCAGGGCCCACAGGATAAAAACTGTCCCAGGCAGTTGAGTGGCCAGGGAAGCGCAGTCAGTGTTTGCTTTGGCTGCAGCAGTGGCCGCCCTTTCACCGCGGCTACCGGCGCATTTCAGAGCCAGAGTTCTTGCCCAGGGTCGGGACACGAGGCCACACCTCACAAATACCTTCTGAGGGTCATCTCTGTCTCTCTCTCTCTCTCTCCATTCTGTCTCTCCCTCTCATTATCTCAACTCTGCTGGAATAACAATTTATGTACATTATAAATATATATAATATGCAACATATGTGTATACTTTCTATATAAACATATATACATTTACTGCTAATTGTCTCAAGGTGTACTGGGTCTAACTTAAAATTCCCCTCAAATCCTTTCAGAAGAAAGTGGGGGTACAAATCCTAAACAAATGGAAACTACACATCCATTCATCCATTAGATCCATTACATGTATGTCTTCTTCTACATGAGTTTCTGTGTGTGTTTCGTGACAGACAACTGTTTATAAGGTCAGCTGGTTTTTAACGAGTAGAGTGGGAGGAGCTCAGAGGGCCAGGCTCAGTCAGGAAGGGGCATCTACGCTCAGTCCTCCGAGGTCGGTCCCCACCCCGTTCACGTCTGCATGCAAGTCTGCCGTCTTATCTCACCTTCTAGACCGTGGACCTCCTGCGGGAGGGGCCGTGCTGGGTCTGGTCCATCCCTGGGACACCCACAGGCAAGGGCCATCAAATTACTATTATAAAACTCAGTCACTTAAGCAAGTATTGATCAAATGAATACCTAGCAAGAGGTATTGTGCAAGGTGATAAACTGTTGTCAGCTGAACGGAGAAAGAAGAGGATGGAGGTAGATGAAAGAGAAGGCAAGAAGGAAGGAAGGATGGAAGGAAGAAAGGATGATGAAGACTGGGCTCCCCATGACAGATTCAGGCCATTTAATGCTCATACATACAATCCTTCGCTCAGGTTTCCAGCCTCCCAAAGCAGCTCAGCATCATGAGGAAATTATACCATCACAGCTTCATTAACCTGGGAGGTTAACTGGATGGTAAAACAGGTTGGAAAAGGAAGGACGCAGCGCATGTCGTAGGGGATGTGCTCGTGCCTCCAGCATCCCTGTCATCATGAGGTTCTGAAAGCCGTTGCCTCACAGAATCCCTCACCCAGGATGGCCCGGGGCTGACCAGGCCACCTTTGCAGGGCCAGGGAGGGTCCGGGCCGGAGGGAAGGGAGGGCTGGGTGAAGTCCGGTGTGAGGCTGTGGAAGGGGAGGGAGATGCAGGGAAAGAGGTGGTAGAATGGGAAGGGGTAACGATATCGGTAGAGGAAGGCGGAGAGGGGTGCAAGTGGGACGTGGGGTAACGAGGAGGTCATGGGGCAGGGATAGTGGAGAGTGGGGAGGGTGGGATGAGTGGGGAGGGTGGGAGGGAAATGCTGGGGTGCCAGCGTGCGGGGCAGGGCACGGGAGCCCTGGGGCAATCACAGGCATCATGAAGGAATTGATACTGGAAGGGACAGTTCTGTTTTATGTCATGTTCACAACTATACCACGAGGTAGATGCCATTGTTATCATCCCCGTTTTAGAAATGAAGACACTGAGGCACAGGAAGTTTAAGCAGCTTGCCCAGGTTCACTCAGGAAGTGGCAGAGCCAGTGCTCCATCCCAGGAGTCCTGATGTACAACCCTCACTCTCACCTCCCATGCCACACTGCCACTCAGAGGGGACGCTAGGGTCCAGGAGCCAAAGCCACTTCCCTGGAACTGCAGGCCAGGCACAGTTCAGATTTGAACCCGGGTCTTCCAGACTTCCAAGGCTGTGCTCTCACATGCTGTAGGACAGGACCCCCCTGACCTTGCCCAAGATTTGACCACAGAGGTTGAGATGGGGCCAGCGACCATGGTATTGAGGTCTGTGGCCTGTGCTTGGCCGGGCCACTGGCGGCCAGGACTCACCATGAAGTAGTAGAGCTGCGAGGACCGGGCCATGAACTCGGGCCGGCACACGGCCACACAGATCTCCACGAAACCGGCGTGCTGGCTGGGCTTGGCCTCCCCCATCTCACACACGATCCTGCAGGCAGGAGAGGACAGACCCCACGGGTCACAGGAGGGTTACAGGCTCCCAGCCGTCACCCCTGGGCCCCAGTTTCTGCAGTGGGATCTCGGGGACGGGCAGGGGAGGAGGAGGTGAAGGGCAGCCCAGGTTCCTTCCTGCAGGGCTCCCCCGTGGTTCTCGGGCAATGAGGAAATACAGCCTTCAGGGTGTCCTTGGAGGCCCTCTGTAAGTGGGGAGCCTCGGGGAGGGTCCCTGCATTCTCGCTGGACACCCAGTCCCTAATTCATGAATTGTCCACTCAATTATGAATTGCTGTGAATTTTAGCCAAACAGCTTAGTGACAGGAGCTGGCAGGGCCCGAGAGGTAGCGTGACCGGCCCAAGGGCCCAGAGCAAGTCAGACAGGAGCCTGGCTTGGGCGTGAGGCGGTCAGGTCCTGTCTCCTGTCAGAGCTTTTGCTCCCAGTGTGTGGCCTGCCTCAGAGGGGCTTTCGGCCTCCAGCCCCAGCTGGGGCCCGGCAGGTGAGATGCACTTGTTTTGGGGGATGGGGCGGTTATAACTTTTTCCCTTTTTATCCATTGTTATCGTTTTTTAAAATTTTCATTTATTTATAGAAAGGGGAAGGGAGGGAGAAAGAGAGGGAGAGAAACATCAATGTGTGGTTGCATTTTGTGTGCCTGCTGCTGGGGACCTGGCCTGCAACACAGGCATGTGCCCTGACTGGGAATAGAACCGGCGACTCTTTGGTTTGCAGGCTGGTGCTCAATCCACTGAGCCACAGCAGCTAGGGCTAAATTTTTATCGTTTTAATTACAAAATTTGTTCATACTTTTTGAGAACAAGATAGTACAGAAGTGTGACAGTAAAAAAGTGTCTCTTTTTTCACTCCTAACTTCTGTTAAAAGTTTGGTATGCATAATCTCGCAGACCTCATACTGGACCTATGCAAATATATTATATAGATCTGTAATATCCATTTTACAAATGAGGAAGCTGAGGCACAGAAAAGTTAGGCAACTTTCCCAAATATAGATATTTGCACATATACAAACATATATGTTTATGTTTGAGATTATGTACACACATAAACATAAATGTTATATATACACACACAGAAGTGTATGTAAACATACATATATAAAGAAACACACACATGATTTTTAAAATAAAAATGAAATATAACTGCCCACTCTTTCTAACTCCTCTCTTTTTACTCAACGATACAACATAGACGTTCCTTTATGTCACGGTGCATATTCTGAAAGCTCCCTAGCATTTCATACTATGACTGTACCATCATTTCTTGCCATGATTACTAGTGAGGTGCACATATTTTCATATGTGTGTGTGTGTTTTTAATCTTACATAGCCTTTCCTTTGACTTGCCTGAAGCCCTCTCTTTATTTTGCTAATAGGTTATCCTGTTGAGCCGCTGAACTATAGTATTAACTTTTGTCTGTAGTAAATATGGCATTATTTTCTCCCAGTTGGTCACCCATGTTTCAATTTTGTTTCTAATGTCTCTGCCACCCTAAAGTTTAAAAGTAGCTGTGTGGTTCAGTTGCTTGTTCTTTTACTTTATGGCTTCTGGGTTCTGCATTTCTCTTAGAAAGAACTTCGGGGTGAGGGCCCAGCAAAAATGTATGCCCTTCGGTCCACATAACATAATTAATACATGTTCAGTGTAAAAAAATAGTGCATAAAAGCATGTGGCAAACATACACCCACCCCCAATTGTCTCACTGAGAAATATTCATTGTCAACATTTGTGTATACATGTTTCCAATCTGGCTTTTCTTTCTTAAATTTAATTAGAAACTCTGCATTCTGCTTGGTAACCTGTTCTTATTTAATATATTGAACACCTTGAGAGTATTTCTGGTCATGATTCTTCTACAATATCAGATTTAATGGCTGTGTAGTTTATTGTCCTATGCACATAAAATAATTTATTGAGTTGGTTAATCCCCTATTTTCAAACATACAAATTGCCACTAAAATGTTACTCTTATAAATAAGGCTGAAATAAGCATTCATGCAAATAAATATTTGTGCATTGTAGTTATTAAGGGAAAGGTCCAGAAGTATTATGGCCAGGCTGAAGATTTTCGACTCCCATTTCCAAACTGCCTTCCATAAAGTTCACCCCAGCTTACCTTCCCAGCATGAATGTATGAATGTGCTATTTCTCATGCCTCTCATCTGCACTGGGCATTGCCTTCTAAAAATTGTTCCCTGTTGTTTTAATTTGCATTTCATTGATTACTACTGATGTTAAACATTTTTACATGACTTTTGGTTCTTTGTGTATTTTTTGAATTGTACATCCATGCTCTTTGCTCATTTTGTGATAGTGCCTTCTATTTATAAAACGTCCTTAAATGTTAAGAAAAAGAATCTCTAAACTATAATAGGGTATAACCATATATTCAGTTTATTGTTCATGTTTTATTTTGCTTACAATGATTTTTGATGCTCAAGTTTTATTACTCAACTCTTCCAATCTTTTTCTTTATAATTTTTCTTTTGCAGTTATACTTAGAACACCTTTCTTTTCTTGAAATTAGATAAATTCTCACATGTAATTCCTTCTAATCCTTTCACAGTTTCATTTTTTACACTTAACTTTTTAATCTATCTGGAATTTATTTTGCTTTATAAAGTGAAGGAAGGATCTGACATTGTATTTTTTTCAGGGAGTTAACCAGCACCACTTACTGAATAACCTTTCCTTTCCTTGCTGATTTGAAATGTCACTTTTATTACATACTAAATAATTATAGATCAGGATTCTTTTTCTGGGTTGTTTATCTTATTCCACCGACCTAACTAATATCACAATATTTCAATCCTCTGTCTTTATAATATTTTTTAATGTCAGGTCCCAAGTAGGACATTTCAAATGCCCCCCACCCCACCCCCTCAGTCGCAATAAGTCAGTAGCAGCCTGCTTTGGTTTTGTTCTAGAAAAGACTCAGAAAGTTGAAGGAGCCACAGGATGATCTTCAGGTAAATAAATGATGACAGGTCAGGAAGGTGAGTCCCTCCAAGACTGGAACCTTCAATGATCTGATCTACTCTGAGCCCCTTAGGAAGACCAGAAAGGGAATCGGGAGGAATTGAGGATGACAGTACTGATGGTTCCAGAATCAATAAATCTGGGCAAGATCCAGCAAGCAGAAATTTAAAGGGCGCTGACCCACCTAAGGGAGGCCTTGCAAAGAGTCAATGACTTAGGCACACAGGACAGGTGGCAAGTTTTCACTCCAGAGGGGCAGCAAAGATGGTAGAGAGTATAGATTCTATTGTGCTGGTAAACCTTTCATGGCTGTGTTTGCTGGGTTAGAAAATTGTGTTTACTTATTTACAAGGCAATATGCAGCTCACAAACCTCCTCCACCAGGCAGGTTAGAGGTCAAGGTCATTCGCTGAATGACCCTCTCAGGGGACCAGCAGGTTTTGCAAAGAGAAAAACAATTCACGGTACCTGCAGGCCTGCAAGTGAGTGCGGAATTTCATTTTTATTCTCTACACAGAGTAGCACAGGATCCGTTTCTGCTATAACTGGGGGAAGCATGCATGGAGGAGCTAGGGGCAGCAGAGGGGACTGGGATAAACAGTTGAACTCACGCTTCTCTTGCGGATTTCAACTTTTGCTTTGTCTCTCTCCTACTCACCCCCACAGCCCAAGGAAGTAAGGATTCCTTTTCTTTCCCAGCTCTCTGCCTACTATGGCAGCTGGCTAGTTTAGGCCCTGGGCAGTTGTGGGAGTCTCGCCCCAACACTTTAGAATTTTAAGGGCGGTCTCCTTTTATTCCCCATTCGCTATAAGACTATTTGCTGTTGGTGAGAGAAAATAAGTCAACAACAGCTTGTTGCTGGCTTGTCTTCCCTCTCCTCCTGTGCCTCTCTATGTCCTTGGTCCCTTCCACTTACTGTTCCGCAGGGACGTAGCCATCCACCAAAGGGCTGCACTCCACGCCAGCCACCTTGACGTAGGAGGCGATGTCTCGGAACTCCAGGCCCAGGTTCTCTCCTCTGATGGTGACCTTGGTGCCCCCTTCCCGGGGGCCTGTCACTGGGATTATCTGGAGGGAGGAAGTGTGGTCATTTGGTAGGGACCAGGATAGAGCAGTCACGCACTTGCTGACGGGCCAAGGATGGGGGGTTGCTGCTGGCTCTCCCCCATCTCCGCCCTGTTCCCTGAGTCATGTCCAAGTCTACCAGGGCTCCCAGGTCTGGGACTGTCCGTGAGCAGGAGCTTCTGGTAGAGCAGTCCAAGCTTGTGTGTGGTTTGAGGAGCAGTGTCCAAAGGCCCTCATTCATTTTCTATTTCGGAGAAGATCCGCAATGTTACCGGGTAATTCACAGGAAATTGGGACTAAAGCCTTTTAACTTTTTCTTGTGTTGGCACTACTCTCAAAAATAAAAAAGAACGACCCTCCTATGAATCTACAACCCTCCACACCCTAGAAACCCACCCATTTTTTAAAAAAAATTCTCACCCAACAATGTGTTTATTGATTTTAGAGAGAAAGAAAGGAAGGGAGCAAGAGAGAGAGAGAAACATTGATGTGAGAGGAACATCGATAGGTTGCCTCCCGTACATGCCCCGGCTGGGCATTGAACCCACAACCTGGGCATGTGCCCTGGCCAGGGATCAAACCTGCAGCCTTTTGATGTACAGAATGACGCTCCAACCAACGGAGCCACCCGGCCACGGTGGAATCCACCCATTTTTTAAAGATCCTTCTCAAATGTCACTTCCCACACCAGATATTCTTTCTCCTTCTCTCTCTCTCTCTAGCAGCCTCCCCCTCACCTCCAGATGAAACTTTAAGGCACCTTCGTTGTGCTCCTTTCATGGTAACATTTGTGCCCGATTCCCATCCCCCCGCCCCCACCCACTTCCACTTCAGATCCGGAGTCTGTGAGTGTCACTTCTCCTTGCGGCCTTTTCAGCAATAGCACCATCTTTGTTTCTTGAGTTGCAATTGTATTGCAAACTCCAATTATCCAAGCATCTTCCTGAATTAGCAGAGCACTTGTCACAGCCTCTCTGCCTTCATTGTCTGGCTTGGTTTCTAAGGGAGATTCGTTGAGTTTAGACTTTACCCTCATGCATAGGCCAAAATGATTGGCTTTCCCGCCAAAGATGTCTATTACTTGTGTTGCTGAAGCCCAAGACTGAAACGCTAACATCTAACAACGAAGGGTCTGCTTTGAGGGAGGGGGGCTCCGTCCAGTTCACACAGTCTAATTGTGGTATCCCCCAGGACTGACCACAGTGGCAGAAGACATTTGTGCCAGCCTTTTTTGGCATTTGATAGACAGGGAAAGGTTCATTTCCCATTTCTGGGGCCTCTGAATGCCAAGAGCTGGATCTTGGCCAATGGCAAGGGGATCACAATGGAAAGAGTCCAGATAATCATCTCTTAATAGGTCCTACTCTCTCTACCCCCAAGGGTCAGGACTGGGGGGTTTCATCTGGGGGGACAGTGAAAGACGGGGAAGGGAAAGAAACTAGGCTGGGGTACCCCTGAGTGGCAGCCTTGAGGGGGGAGGGGACTGTTCACTTACAAAAGTCAAGACACTCCCTGCTTCTTACACAGGCAGATGTGCATGTTTGTCAGCGAGTGTGTGCGTGAGTGTGAGGGCTTGCACATGAGTGTGACAACAAAGGTCCTTTGGAGACAGAGAGCCATTACTGTGTGAGGATTTGGCCCGCTATGGGGGAGGGGGAGTCCATATTGTTCCCAAATGCCTGCCCAGCCAGTCCCCAAAGTGCCCCTGGCACCTCGCGGCAGCAGCTGCATGATATTCCAGCCCTGGCTTGTCATCCTGCTGAAGGAGTTTTCTCTCCAGCCCAGTCCTTGGTTCCTGGGTTTCCCGGAGGGCCAATGCCAGTATGGAGCCAGGCAGTAGCCTCCGTCTCTGGGAGACTTGTTTAATTTGCCATCTCCTCCCTGCAATTTTCTTGATCTCAGGCCAAGAAGAAAGCAAGTCCCACCGTTGTTGCCAGACACACTGTGAGCAATCACTTGTGCCAGCGTGGTTTCTTGCTAAGGGCTCTGGGGTTGGGTGGGGGAGGGGAGGGGTGGTTGGAAAGGAGGGAGAGTGGGGCACGGCCCCCGTGTGGGACCAGGGCTAGGGGCTGGAGGGGTGACCTTTAGGGGGCCTCTCTGCTGGGAGTGTGGGGCGGGGACGTGAAGACATAGGGCAGCACTTCCCTTGGCTTAGACATGTGCGGCCCTGCTTTTAATAATGACAGTGAAGGAGGAGGAGGAGGACAGGAACGTCTCCATAGGCTGGGCCTGGACCGTCTCATACAGTCCTTGTAACTCCCCTGTGAGGTGGACACCTAGACCCATCACACAGGTGAACAAGCTGAGGCACAGATACAGTGACAAATTAGCCCTGGGCTACCCAGCAATTAGCCGACAGAGCAAGGACTTAAACCCGTGACCCCCACACAGCCTCTGTCATGGGTCCATGGCTTCGCGAGGCTGCCGCTGATGGAGGTTCACAGTTTTGTCACCGAAAGAGAAACGTTTAGAGAGAAGGTGAGGGTGGCGAGGAGTCCTTTTAGACACAGCATTCGTGGAGGCTCCAACAGGACAGTTGAGCTCCTCTCTACTTTCACCTTCCCTTGAAATGGAAAGGGCCTCTGAATCAAGCCTACAGCTCCTGGGGAAGCTGTGCAGGCAAACAAGGTACCCCAGCGAGCCGGCGATCCTGGGTGACCCACACCATGGCCAGGCAGGGCGGTTGGGGCCCCAGCCCCCGCAGGGCCCACCGGCCCGTGGCTTACCTCCGTGATGCGTGGGTTCGTGCACTTGCTGTTGGCGCCCGCCAGCTCCAGCCACTGGCTCTCGTGGAGGGGGCAGTGCTGCCGCAGCGTGCACTGGCCCTGCGCCTGGCACCAGCCGCACTCGAAGTCTGGGTCCGCCTTGAGGCACAGGCCGCAGCTCTCGCGCATGGCTCCGCACTTATAGAGGTGAACTGCGGGCAAAGGGCCGGAGTGGGATAGGGGTGGGGGCTGGGAGGGGCCGGGAAGTGTGGACAAGGAGCGCAGCCCCCGCCTCTAGGGATGGGACTGGGCTGGGAAAGCCAGCCTCCCTCCAGCCAGCCCTGCTCACTCCACTCTTCTCTCCCGGAGGCCACCTGCCCATGCTGAGCCCGTGCCTGGCAAGTCACAGAGCATGGGGATGGTGGAGAGGCTGCGGAGGGTGGGCTCAGGCCAGGCCAGAGGGATAGGGAGAGCCACTAGGCTGGGGGACGAATCACCCCTGCCCATGCATGCAGAGTAGCTCTCTCCTTCACTTTCCACCCCCACCCCCGCCCCCCGCCCAAGGCCACCTTCCATACCTTTATTCTGAGCTGGGTTGTCGATGTTGAAGTGGCCGTTCCACACAACCTTCAGCTCCACAGGCAGGTTGTTGATCTCCATCCCTTCGTAGGAATACTGTGGCCAGGTGGCGGGAGGAAAGAACAAAGCCAGGTCACAGAGTTCTAGGGGGCTCCGTGTTCAGCCTGGGGCCCTCAAGAGCACATAGGACTAAAGACTGGCCACGACTGTGCATGTGCGTGTATGTGTGTGTGTGGGGGGGCACACATGTTCACACATGCTCATCTGTGTGTGGGCAGGGCGGGGAAGCACTTATCAGGACATGGGACACAGGGCTCGGGAAGCTAAGGCAGGGGAGGGCCGGGCCTGCTTGCGGCAGGGATACCCATTTGGAATGGAGGTCCCTGGAGCAGCTTTGAGTGAGCTACTCATCCACCTTCCACGGAGGCCTGTTCTCATTAGCTGGCCTTTCCCCACGAAGTTTCACTGAGCCTCGGCCTTGGGGCCGAGGTCTGAGAGGTGGGGACAGGGAACAGGGAGAGGTGCGGCTGGGGATGCAGGGTGGTGGGGCCGTCGCCAGGCGTGCCAGCCCCCATCTGCCTTCTGATAGCAGACAGTTCTCAGTCCCCAGAGCCTGCCTTGGGCAACGTTTCCAATCCCTGCCTGGTGCTTTTCTCATTATCTCACCAGACTGCCACCACGGGGGGCTGGTTGGAGGAATGGAACCGAGACAGGTTTTCGGTGGAGGAGGGGCTCAGGTCTAGCAACTGGCTGGAAGTGTCTGTTCCGGGGGTCTTGGTTTTAAGTGGTATTTGCAGAGCCAACAGGCTCTACTAACTGAAAGTTTGGGGTGTTGATGGTTATCACGATGGGCAGCGGCACTCCCCCATGGAGCTGCCGCAGTACCTCCACCCCCAGGAGGAAGCCCCAGCGCCTCGGAACGTGCGGGGGGCCTCAGGCCTGTCGCCCAGGCCTCGGCTTCTGTGGCCCATCTGTAGCGGCTTCCAAAGCAGTTACAATCCTGATCTGAAAAATCACCCCAAATTCTTGAGTTTCAGAGTGAGCTCCAGGAGGAATGTCATAATGTCCTCATACAGCCACATAAGTAGGATATGCATCCAGCCTTCCCCAGGGTCTACCCTACTTCTCTGAACGTTTCCACCAACTCCCTGGTGAACATGCTCTGGCCTGGGAGTCACGTTCAGTGTTTTTCCCACAATGGCAGTGTTTGACACCATCCATACTCTCGTAGCATCTCCCTGTGACCGATGGCACCTGGGCCAGGGCTAGAGTCTGGGCTCAAGCCATAGAACAAAGCAAAGCTCCCTAGTCCTGCAGAAGCAAAAGTGGGGAATTTTTTGATCGGTGCATAACTCAGCTGGTGACTCATAAGCTCTTTCCCACATAGTGCAGTCGCCAGCTCCCCAGAGACGGTGCTCTTTGTGTCTGGGTCAGGCTGGGTCCTGTGTTTTCTCACAAAATTTCTTCTACTCTAGGCGGGTGGTTCTCATGGACCACCTTCCTCAGAATCATCAAGGGGGCCTACTAAATGCAGATTCCGGGGCTCCGCCCCAGAGCTGAGGAATTGGAGTCTAGGAGATGGGAGGAGTTTGAACAAGCAATTCTAGTGTTTGCGGTGCTCAAGAGATGTGTGCGGGGGAACAGGGAGAGAGAGAGACTTTTTCCGGCCTCCTTCCCCATCTCCCTCCTCCATGGCCCCATTGGTGGATGTGTGGTGAGGGCAGCCCCAGGCTGCCCGCTAGAGGGCGCTGGCTCCGCCTGGCTCTGACCGGGACCACAGCAGGCTGTGACCACAGCATGTTGACCAAAGATCAATAGAACCTTCAAACCCCTCTCAGGAAGGACCTGAAATCCTCCAGAGAACAAGGCAAGAAGTTGAGCATGTGCCTGTGTTTACAAATATGTTCACACACATGCTGACCTGAGAAGCGGTCAGAGCTGTATTATCTGTGTGTCCACACACATGTTGCCTGGCGGGGTTCTGCTGCGACGAGCTGTGTGAATGCGGGCAAGTGATCGAAGTCCTCGTGTCCCCATTGGTAAAACGAGACTGCAAACGCTGTGTCCCTCACAGCGCTGTTGTGAGGGTTTGAGACAACCATCTAACATTCTGAGCATGGTGTCTGTCAAGTAGAATGAGCACTCAAATATTATTGTGTATTTTAATCTGCGTGTATACTCTTAGGGATGCCATGGAAAATGCGTTTGAGTTCTCTGTGTTCATGTCTGTGTGGAGTAACAACAGCAGCCATTCTCTGGGTGCTTATGCGCCAGACCCTGATGTGTGTGGAGGTGCACGTATACGAGAAGGCCTGCGTGTTCAGATGGGCACACATTGTCTTTTTGAAGAAAACTAAAAATAAAAAAGACTTTAAACGTCTGATATGCTGGGCGTTACTTTCTCTTTCTCTCCCCCCCATTCCTGGGATCTTGATTATGGAATAGTGTAGAAATCATTAGCTCCCCACGACCCCCTCGACCTCTAGGGAAGCCACGCTCCTTCCTGGACACCCTATCTCCCCTGTGACCTGCACCCCGCATGGAGGGTGGGGTGGGCCGACAGCTGGGGAGCCTGAACCACGGCTCCCACCCCCTACAGTTCTCCCCTGTGCCACTTAGCATTTATGTAGCTCTCTGCAATCAGTGGGCAGTTACTCTGCACAAAGCCCACAGCTGAGGGAAGAGCATTTCAGGCTCCCAGAGGCCAGGAGGTTAAGAGTCTCAATCAAGTCTGCCACACCATGGCCCAGCTAGTGGGTGGCATTGATGGTGACCTTGGGAAAGTGTGAACCTCCATTTCTCTATCTTCTGAAGCAAAGAGAAAACACCTATGTGATTTGGACATTCTTTCCTGCAACTGTTTTCTTATCCCAGTCTCTGAGGTGTTTGGCTGGAAAGTTCTAGCATTCGGGTGAGCAAAATATCTAAACAACACTAGAAGCCTGTTTATCTGTCTCCAGGACCCCAGAGGCTCGGCAGACCAATGCCCAGCGGTGCCCCAGGAAAGCAGTGAGGGGAACCCCGTCGGTCTCGCCATCCCTGTTTTGCATGTGCTACACTGTGGCACCAGGAGGAAACATGGGGTCACTGTGGGCCTGTGGGAGCCGGGTTGCAGCTCTGGGCCCTCGGCCAGCACGGCCACCTGCCCTCTGTGGCCTGCTTGCTCGTGGGATTGCCAGAGACGGAGAGGCGGGCACTAGGCATTACTATTAGCAGCGTTTGGCATTTCTCTGGAACCTTGGTCTGAAGGAGGCTGAGAATATGCACAGTCGTTCTCCTTCCAGTGGCTCCTGGGAGCTGCCCTGCCCGCCTCCCACAGGCGCCCTGAGGGCTGCAGCGATTGGACCTGGGCCTCTCCCCAGCGAGTGGGCTGCAAGCGACCTGCCTGCCCATCCAGCCCAGAGCCATGCCCGTGCCAAGTTTTCCTGTGTCTCTTTTCCTTCTCTGCTCCCCTCGGAGACCTCTCTGTCCTCTACCTCTCTCTGTCATCACACACCCGGGGGGTTTCTCTGTTAGATCCTCTCCCTTCCTCCCTCGGCCCAGGGAGCTCCCTTAGGCAATGAGACAATGGTAACTTTTTTCCCACAATCCTCCCTGATGCAGCTCAGACCCTGCTCCCTGGGGCCACACCAAGGCTGGGGTATAAGGTCCTCAGCCGCTAATTCTGCTTTGGTTAGGGGTGTGTGGGAGCCTGGCACCACCTCTCCTTGTCCCATTGGTACTGACCAGGGGGCAGTACCAGGTCCCCAGTCCTCATGTGTCAGGGCTGCTAAGCCCCCGTGAGTGCCCTTGTCCCCAGGGAGCTCTGATTTTGCCCCCCATTCAGGGAGTTCCCCGTGACTCCTAGAGGGCACATTAACTGAGCCAGGACTGGGCTCAAGAACCGTGAGGCCATCTGAACATAGTCGGCTCCCAATCCTGGCAGGACTAGAAAGGCAGCGGCCCCGACCAGCCTCTGGGGAGCGCATGCCCATCGCCCAGGGGTGGACGGAGTTCTGACCCGGGGTTGATGGGACCAACTCAGGCTGTCACCTGGGTCACACTGGCCTATTTAGCCGAGTTATCAGAAGCATGGGGCCAGTCTTGTGATGTCTGGGGAATTGGAGACTCATCATTGGAGGCCGCAGACTCTGTCCTCCCTCCTGACCCCTCCGGGGCGCAGGGCCCTGGACAGCTTCCCCGAGGAACTGAGGCCGTTTTCTGCATGGTCCAAAACCTCCTCGCTGCTGAGTCAGATGTGGGACTCAGGCTGTCTCTGCCCACAGGGCCTTGCTTATTAGGGCAAGAACCACTTGAGCCAAACGCTTGGGGCCGATCTGCTTGGCCTCGGGGTTTAGGAGGAAACAGGAGGAGTTTAATATTTCTCTTGCTTCCAGGTTTAATCTGGGGCACTGCAGAAAACCGAAAAACAGGCTGACTGCCAGGGAGCTGCGGGGGTGTATCTGGGGCTTCGGAGGTTGGGAGGTCAATTGTTGGTTCAGTCCCCGTGAGGCTGAGCCCCCTTGCGCAAGCACGTGGGCCCCTCTGAGCATCACGGACCCCTAATCTGCTTCCTGGAGGAGGAGCGGACTGCTCGCTTGAAATGCCTTGTTTCCCATCACATCCCCAAATACACTCACCGCATGTAAGCACCCAGAAGCAATGCGGATGAACGGCAGGCAGGTGACACGAGAGGAGACCCCAAATCTGGCCCCGCCCTGCCACTCACTAGCTGTGTGACCTAATGTATGTCACTTACCTGCTAGACGGGGCAGGTACTCCGAGGCACATGGAGCTGCAGTCCCTTCTAAGGCCTGCTTGTGTATCTACTTTTATATTTATTATATTGCATTCTTAAAGAGCACCCCCCAAATTGTATAACTCTCAGCCCCACGAGCCTAGATCTGCCCCTGAGTCTGGGCCTGCAGTTTCTCTTTTGCACAGTGAAGGAGAACCATGAAAATTACAACTCCCTCTGTGTAATGCTTGTCTCTGAGCATCTGGGTGCATAGGAGTAGCCAGGGAGAGAGCGAGGCAAGCGGAGGGAAGGCCGCCGGCTAGCAGAGGAGGTGATGGCAGGAGGGGATGCGCTTAGAGGGTCACGCTGTGGTACCTAGGAATCAGGTGACAGCCTGAGCATGGGCCTCATGTGCACTTCCCCAACGGGCAGGTGTGTGCCGATCTGAGCAGCACCCTTGTGCCAGCAACCTTTGCAGGCGCGGGTCTATCTCAGATGCCTCCCGGGCTGGGCAGTGGCCTCTGTGTAGGCGTGCGGGTGGTGGAGGCTGGGGGTGGGCTCATGTGCAGCCCTCAGCCCAGCCCTGGCAGGAACGCAGGGCCCGGGGCCTCCACGGAGGGAGCTACTCCAAGGAGGGTGGGCACACAGGCCTCGGCCCACCAACAGCGCTCGGCAGCCCCATTGTGGGCCCCAAAGCCCCTCGCACACAGCCCCTGTCTTGGGCAGAGGACCCTCCCGGCCACAACAGGGCCACGACTCTGGGCAGACACTTGGTGGCATTGGAGCTCGGCCCTCTGCTGGGGTGGCGTGAGCAGGGTGGGGGCAAGTGGAGCTGTTCTGTGGTGTTCAAGGACGTCCCCAGAGCTTAACTGACCTGGCTCTGGGAAAGAACAGGGAGGGGGGTGGAGGAGGGGGCAAGACCACCCCAGGGCGCAGGGCTGGGCACTCACAGAGGTGTTCTGGCACTGCACGCTGGAGCTGTTGAAGCGCAGGGCGGGCACCCGCTGCTCGCTGCCCTGGATGTTGAGGATGCATTCGTACCCACGCTGCCCGGACTGCGGCTGGGGCAGGTTCTTGGCCTTCAGGGTAATGGGCTTGATTACCTCCACGGGCACCAGGATCTTGTCCACACGCAGCAGCTGGGGGCACTCCTGGGGACAGAGAGCACGGCTCAGGCTGGGGCGCAGGAAGCCGAAGGTGCAGGAGCCCCTCCAGGCTTATAACCTGCGTGTTCGCTCCACTCCTCCCTCCCACGAAACACACCCACAGAGGGTCCTGGGCAGTGGGGCTACCACTGAGCACAGGCCAGGAGGGAATGGGACTCAGAAGTCCTGGGTAGTTCTTCCTGAGGCTGTCCCTGCTCTCTTCAGGTTCCATTTTAATGCACTCCAGACTTGGACACGCCTGGTGGCCTTCTCTGGGCACCCCTCCTACCCTAGCAGAGACAGGTGCTGCTGGCTGGGCATCTTGTCTCATCTCACTTTGGGCTGCTGACCCCTTTGCCTCAGTTCCAGGCTGCAGAGAGCTGAGACAGAGGGGACCATGTAGCGGACCCTCAGTGAGGCAAATCCCTGGGCTCTGGAAGGTGAGTCGGGAGCAGAGCAGGAGGGTCTGGCAGTGCCTTCTATACATGGGCTGAGGTTGGCATTTGAGAATGTTCTGGAATGGGCACAGAAACCTCTTCAATCCAGAAGTTCCTGATTTACCTCAGAGATGGCCCGACCCCAGGGAAATGCCCCTCAGGGCAGATACACACTGACCAGGTGCTAGAAATGGGCAGGCTCGTCCCTGGAGCCGGGAAAGGCCCGGAGGACTTTTGGGGATGGAGGACATGAGTCGCTGGGCCCCTTTTCCCAGGGGCAGTCAGCTCTGCCCACGAAGGGCTGGGAGAGAATGGGGCCAAGAAAGAGTGTGGCGCTATATCCAGCTGAGAGGTGGGGACTGGCTTGTGTCTGGATCCCAGGAGCTGGGTAGAAGAGTCAGTATTCTGGGCTGCTTGGCATGGGCAAGAGTGAGGGTTTTTGAAAACACCAGCAGGGCCTGGGCACCCTGTGTCAGGCAGGCCCACCATTCCCCAGGTGCCCCTCGCCGTGGCATGTTCGGGGCGTGCCAAGGCAGACGGCTCCCAGGCAGGCTGGCCGTTGAACGCGCGGCGCACACCTCCTTCCTTGAGGCTGCCGTCTCGGGGGCTCACTGCGGACTGTCAGCAGAGGCTGCTGGCCCCAACCCCAGCACCCTTCCCCAGCCCAGTAAGGCAGGAAGGAGGCTGTGGGGGAGGGCAGATGGGAGGGGCCAGGCAGTCGGGCAACTTGGCAGCTGTCCCCCTGGGTCCCCACGCTAATGCGAGCGCCTCTGTCACCGATAGCTGGCGGGGAGCAGACCTCTGAGCTCCGGTGCCTGCTGAGCGTCTGGTGAGCTACCAAACCCCACTATGAGAGTCAACGTCCTTATCTGTCCACTGGCTGGAACCCAAGGACCCCTTCAGTTCTAACCAGTCCTGATGCCACCATTGGGGGTGGTCTCGACTCTGTCCTTCCCGATCACTCTGCAGTCTGGCTTAGGGGGAGTGAGTGCCCTGGGGCTGTTAAACAAACCTCCCCTCCCCTCCTCCAGGCTGCCCCCAACGTTGTCCTGAAGGGCAGGTAGGAGAGGAGCAGCAGATCCAGCAATCACTTCCAGGGGTGCACGCAGAAGATAGAACAAAACCGAGGGCAGGGACTCGAACTGGTACCCCCATGCTCAGAGCAGCATTGTTCACAACAGCCCAAAGGTGGAAGCAACTCGCCGTCCATCAGCGGATGAGTGGGTAAATGAAATGCCGTACATAGTACAATAGAATGTTATCCTACCTTCAAACGGAAGTTATAACACACACTACAACACGGGTGAATCTTGAAAACGTATGCTAAGTGAAACAAGCCAGTCACAGGAGGACAAATATTACACAATTCCACCCATATGAGGTACCAAGAGTAGTTGAATTCATAGATGCAGGAAGTAGCATGGTGGGTTCTGGGGGAGAGAGGGGCGGAGGGTTAGTGTTTATTAGGCACAGAGCTCAGCTGGGGAGGATGAAAAAGTTCCGGAGATGGATGGCGTGATGGTTGCATATAATGTGAATGTGCTTCATGGCACTAAACTGCACACTTCAAACTGGCTAACGTGATAACTTTTATGTGTGTACTTGACTACAGTTAAAAAGGAACCTCAGGGAGACAGGCGGCAGGAGGAGAGAAGGGGAGGGTGGGGCCTGCACCCAGCACGTGGCCCCGAGCCTCTGGGTCAGGTGGGTCTCTGGGGACTTTGAGGCCCACATGGGAACAGAGTTTTAGTAGCTCCACCTTGAGCCCATGTGTTAACTGCCCTTTCATTCCCCCACCGCCCCCCCCCCCATCCCGCAACCACCACATACACACACTCCAGCAAGAGGAGAGTGCAGGACACAGAGAAGACAAGAGCAATTTTGGGAAAAGGATGATAGGACTGAAGCAGGGGTATGAGATGTTAGAGAATCAGGGGGGAAGGTCAATGGAAACTACGGGGTTCTGAGCTGAGGGTCCGGGCCAGTCCTGACTCCGCTGTTCACTGCAGAGCCCTGGGCAGCCCTCCTCCCCTGAGCATGCGCAAGCCTGCCCCTCCTCCTGCAACGTCCACACCTCTACGGGGCGCTGGGTCTGTGGCTGCGTCTGGAGTCACACCAGACTCCAGCTGGACTCCCACCTCCACATCCCCAGCAAAATGTTGTGGGACAAATGGTACGTGGAGGGTGTCCCGAATCAGACAGCCTTCTGAACCAACCTAATGGATCCCCTCTACTTCGCAAAGGAGAAACTGAGGCAGGGAGAGGAAAAATAATGGCTCAGTGTCAGCAAGATGTGCTGGCCGCTGAACAACTCAGATGCCGATCCGCCATCTTTCCTCCCCTTAGGGAAGGCAGTCAGTTCCTCCCGGTGGGCAGGACCACCCCGGGATGGGATGGCAGGTCAGCAAGGATCTCCCTGAGACCAGCAGGAGGAGGGGGCTTGAAGCTGGCCTGGAACCTTGCCTGGGGCTGGCTGATTCTAGTCCAGAGTAGAAGCTGAAGCATAGGCCTCCCTCTCCCCTTGCAGGATTCTCACTGAGGCTTGCTCTGAGTTCTCTAATGAGTCCTGATTGCCAGTGGCCCCATAAAGCTTTAGTTTGCATATAAAAAGGTTGGCAGCCCTGAGACTAAGTTCATTAATAATAATTGGAGAGGCCCAAGGCTGGGCCGGGCCCATTTTCCTCTGGTGGGGCTGCTGATTGACCCTGGTGTCCCTCCTAATTGAAATGTAAAATGGCAATTTTTTCCTAGGCAACAAGGCATGAAGGGACCACTGCCGCCACGCCGCCCCTTCCTCCCACGCCACCTCCCCACCCCTGACCTGTCTCATGCTGAGATCCCACACACAAACCACCTCAAAGTCAAAGGCTCCTGCGCAAGTTCAGAGAAGCCTCCGCATCTCTCTGGGTCCATGTCTGGAGCCCGATCCCAGCGGTCCCACCACGGTGGTCTGGGAGCCCAGGCGATCCCCACCTGAGCCTCACCTTTAAGTGTCCTTAACTAGGGGAACCTAGTTGGGAGTGTCTTCCTCCTGCTATTTTCAGAGTCTTGCAAGAGCTCTAGTCCTTGCTTGACTTAACCAGGCACAGGGATTAACAACTCGTCTTCCAAAGGGTGTCTGGGGGATTCCTCCTACTAAGCGACTGGCACAGAGCGAGCGAGCCGTCAGCCCATGTTTGGTCTTTTCTCGTCCTTCCCCCTCAGTGCAGGCTGCACCTGGGCCCTCATGGCCTCTCTTTACTCCCTCATCTCCAAAGGACCCACCTCCCCCGCTCCAGCCGCCTGCTTTTCCATAAACTCCCCATCGGCTCCTGTAATCCAGTTTATCACTCTCCTTGGCTGCAGAGCTCGTGTGGAGTCGGACAATTTCAGCAGATCCAAGGGCCTCAAACATAAGGGGGGACTGGTAGGGAGGTCCCAGTTCTGTCCACTGCTCTCCTAAGAGCATTCCCCTCTTCTGGAAGGTGACAGGTTCACGTGCTCTGAGACAGGATCAGCCAACTATGTGGCCTTGGGAAGCCACTCAAACCCTCTGGGGCTGGTTTGGATTAGATGATTTCTATGGTCCCAGTTCTATTATTGTTCACCCAGTAGATGACCTGGGACAATCATTATATAACTTTTCTGAAGCTCAGCTTTCTCACCTGTAAAATGGGGATAACAACACCTGCTGAACTAGCTCAAAGTGTGGTATTCAAAGTACAGATCAACCGAAGGCATGCAGGAAGGGCGAGGGGGCTGGTGGGGGAGGTGGGCCTCCAGGAAGTGGCTATTTACCTGCCAGGTAAATACTACAGTGACTAGCGTGGTGCACCTGGTACCATCGTACATGCAGGTATGTTCTGGTAGGCAGTGTGTGATGCTGTTACGATTCCAGGGAACGCGGGTGGCATGGTACCAGGGGTACAAGGATTCAATCCAGTGTGCATTCCGCCACCTCCTTCCCCAGACACATATTTTTCCATGTGCTCCCTTGTTTCATAGCACAACACATACGATCTGCCTCAAGTTCATGCTAAAGAAACCAAGGACGCCAGTTACCTCGCCCCGTTTCCACAACGACAATGAACAAAGATACTTACGCTGATCCCCTGAATTCCGTCCCAGATGTTTATCTAGTCCCCCTGTGGAACTCCTCACTAACGTACTTCCCTTCTCTTTTCAAGAAAGTTCTTTCTCTGAACTATCGTCTGAAAGGGCCAGCTCTTGAGGAGTGGAAAATACCTGCATTTAGCAGGATTGTTTGGAGACAAGTGCACACAGCAAGAACCAGACTCCCTTGGAGGCTGTTGTGCCTGTGGCTACATCCCACAGTTGTGGGAATGGACGAGGGTGGGGACTGGCAGTGGCTTGAGGCCCAAGATCATCGTTACTGTCTTGGCTTTCAGAAGGAAGCCCCAGGGCACTCCAGGTCACCTACCCAGCCCTGTGCATATTGAGGTCTGCACTCACATGCACACCGAAGTAAAGACTGCACCGCTAATTGAGAACAAACAGCAAGCCAAAGTATGAAAGCAAAAAGGATGCTTCTCTATCTACCACGTTGGGATGTCAGTGGCTGCCTTATACCAAGGTTGCGTTGCATATTTAAATAATTGAACAAGGACATAAAGACTGCCCTGGAGCTGGGTCAGGGCTGGTGCAGCCTGGAGAGGGGGCGGCAGGCCTCTAGATTTACAGCCCCCAGTGTGGTTACAAGATGTGGGCGCTAATTCTCCTAGTTGTTTCAGCAGGGCGGAGAGAGACGGGCTGGGGCAGCACCTGGGGCAGCTGGGGCAGCATCTGGGGCAGCTGAGGCCTAAGTGATTTGCAGGTCACCCTTCCCTTCCACGTCACCTCAGCCCCTACCAGTTCCAGACACAAACCAGCTCCAGCCCCAACCAATCCCCCGAATTTACGCTCACCGTCTCAGGCCCATGGTGCCCAATACGAAAATGTAACGCACCATATATTTTCTTGCTGTTCCCCAAGTTTATAATGCCATTAGCGTGATCTACGATGGGCTGGTTCATGGAGAGAGCAAAGTAATAATACAGAAAGGAAATACCCATAACCTTAAGGGGGGGAGGGGCAGACGAGATTGATGGAAAGTGCAATTGTCTGGAGAAATGGCAACCCAGTAATGGAATACCTGGAGTGGGGGCCGCGCATGGATTGGAAGCAAATTCTTTAGCTGGGTTTGGCTTTGTTTTTCTCCAAAGAGGGTGAAGGGCATGGCATGGGGGTTTTATTCCCTGGGGCTGGGTCCCAGAACGGCCGCTCCGCAAGAAGGGGCAAGATCGGCTGGTCTGACTTCCCTTGAGTCCAGCTGGGAGGTAAGTGCCCCTGACCTGCCCTGTCTGAGAGCAGGGGCTTATTTAGCACCAGGGCCTGCAGCATCCAGGGTAGCGTCTTCTTCCCCTCGCAGGCTCTGCGGTCTCGGAGGGGACCACCCCTCAAGATTGGCAGATGTCGTGACATCCGCTCTGGCTATGGATGTCATCTCAGGGGTAGCGGGTGGTGAGGAAGTTTGGGAGAACACTTCAAGCACAACTTTGGAAATCAAATAGGATTCATTTGGCCTCTTCTGATCTTACAACTGTTCTCTGGAGTAAATCCTGTTTAAACTTCAAGAAGCGAGGGGCTATGGGAACCTCCTCTCTCAGCCTGTGCGCTGTGGGCCAGATGTGCTTTGCCTTCCTAGCAAAGACCATCCAGTCTGGCGCCCTGAGAACAAAGCTTCAGCTGCAGCTCACTCTGTCTTTCAGTTTAGATGATAAATAACAGTAAAATAGCCCGCCATGGACACACATTTTGTCAATGAACTTGCTTTTCCTTGGGTGTTTGCCTTTGCTTCCTAAAGCTCACTGTTATTAGGTGTGCAGGTCAGATGTGGTGTTCAGGTCAGAAGGGGGGAGACCTGGGAATTCCACAGGCACTTGGGGCCCAGGGGCTCCTCCCGCTCGGCAAAGGTGAGGGCATGGCCCTGTTCCCGCTGCCTCAGTGAAAGGCCATCCCAGGGGGAGCAAAGGGTGTCAGCTGATGCTGGGAGAGCGGGGCTGAGAGCAGGAAGGCCCTCTAGCGCACCTTGGTTTTCCCTCACCTTCCTCCCCCTCCTCTCTTTGGTGCCCAGGGTCTGGCAGCTGATCTAAAGACCCAGGGTTGCTGTCACAGTGCCCTCATTAGTTGAAACAAAATCATTCCTTGTAACTGTAATATAGTTACTATAAACGACATATGTTACTGGGCATTCTATTTCTAATCATTGTAATTATGCTAGAATACATGCCATTAATATAATAACAACAATGATTGACCAGTTCTCTGTTCCAGACCCATAACTTCACCTGAATGTACTCTTTGTTCGGGGAAAGAAAAAAAAAAAGGTAATTCAACATCCCTGGTGATAGTCAACAAAGCCGGCGTTGAAACTGGAAGACGCACAGATGAAAGCCTTCCTGGGGTACAAGAGGGTGCTGGACAGATGAAAAAGCCACCTGGCAACATCCTTCTTAACTAACAAAAAGACCCTGTCTGTATCCCCACACTCAAAAGTTCAAAGGAAATGAAAACCCAGGGACTTCCAGAAGAATCGCTGGGCTTGGGCGGCACTTTCATTCCAAGAGGGTAGGGAGGTCTGCACCTGGAAGTCCAGGGGAGCCGCAGGCCTGAGTCTGAGTGCGTCCCTCCTGCGAGGCAGCATTGGGGCACCTGTGCCTCGACTGGAGCACTCGCCCGGGAAGGCCACTTTGGGGACATGGATTTCTCTTCGATGCTTTCCAGTTAATTCCCATCTACAATTACAGATCATGTTGACCAGGGGCGCTTTTCACACAGCCCTAAGTACAGATTTACAGCTCTCTTACACACCTTTAAGTCGCTCGCAATGCCTTGCCTATGGGAACTGCTCAGGGACGGGGTAATGAAGGGCTCAGAGTATCCTGCTGTGAGGAAGCTCCCCCCCCCAGGGTGGAGAAGGGACATTTGTATCCGGCTTTCCCCCAAATCACCTTTCAAATGTGTGATTTTCTTTGTCACCCCTTATTCCTGCTACTATCTCTTCCCAGAAACAAAAGCATAGAAAACAAAACAACACCGTAAGAAAAATTCACCATATTTCCATTAGGATTCTGAGCTTTCTTTTAAACTCTGAGGACAATAACCTCCTTTCACTGACCCAAAATGGCTGGATCCGTCCAAAGTCCACAAATATTTATTTACTTCATTCCCCTTTGATACATTCTCCAGGAAGATGCTGCTACAAGGACCACCATGAGGTGTTCAGCACCGGCTTCTCCTCTATGGTATATTCAAAATAGTCCTCGGATTGAGCTGGGTAGAAGATAGACTGCAAACCTTGACCAGAAGCACAGACTTAAAACTTCCTTCCCTTAGAATAAATAAGTATTCAAGAAGAAGAGGAGGAGCCAAAGTCAATTTCATTCAATAACGGGATAATTGAATGCGATGCCAAGTTGTGCTGGAGCCTCTCACTGCAAAGGTCTGCCAGGCTCCCCATAAAACGGCTCACATGAAATGGAAAAAATGCAAGGTCGGCAGGGGCAGGCTAGCCCATCTCCATGTCTCTCCATTGGCCATGGGCGGCCGGGCCTCTCCCTGTCCTGGGGGTCCCAGCACCAAGTCCTCTGAGATGCTATGAACTCCCGGCAGCCTTTGCCAGCGTCAGGCATGCATAGACAGGGCGCCGTGCCTGGCCTGCTAGCCAGGCCCTTAAAGACCCCATTCTTCCGTAAGGATCCCCGAACTGCACTGCGAAATGTGGGGGGCTCTTGTTTTGTTTTCTTCTAGTTCTTTTTTTCCTCTTTCTGAGCAGCAGATGCAAGTTTCTTTTATATATTTAAAAGACAGAAACTTGGGACAAGAGCAGCAGACAAGAAAGAAGAAGCAGAGATTTGAAAACCCCCTTCAGGGTAATTAAATGATCAGGGGCCTTCGAATTCCGCTAGAGAGTTCAACTGTTTGTGCTTTCGTTTTATTCCTAGGCCTCTCCACACATGAAACCTCTGCCGGATACACCAGTGTGGAGAGCTGGAGAGAGACTGAAAACCTTTGTCTCTGCTCTCATGGAATAACTTGTAGCTTTCCAAACAAAGAAGAAGACATTGCCTCCTTGGCTCTCAGCCCCTGGTCCTGGCGGGGAAGCCAGCCCTTCTGCTCCTGACCGCGTGCCCCGAGATCAAGGCCCACGGTCAAGGCAGCTGCCCAGCCTTTCATCGGCATCTTCATGCGAAGGGTGTGCCCTTTGGCTGTCCAACCCTCGTCTGTCCTATTAGCTTAGATCCCTTTCGTCTTAAAGAAGAGCAGAGAATTGAAACAAACATTAGACTCACACTCCTACCTAAAGCCAAGATGTAACCTCTTTCCTCCTTTTCCCTATAAAGGGCCAATCTTTGTCTGGGTCTCTTTTCTGGATTATGAATCCAGGGCGGCCATTGCCAGCCACAGATTCCATTGTCCCGGGTGGGGGCTTATGTCCACAACCCCTTCTTCTCTGTGTGTGTGTGTGTGTGTGTGTGTGTGTGTGTGTGTGTTTATCTATATATACATGCATACATATATATATATATATATATGTATGTATGTATATATTCTACCTCACAGCATTCTAAAGCAACCATTGTTGAGAACGTCTGACCCAATGGTGGGAGTCACACAAGCACCATACATTTGAACAACAGCAGACTTTCCCAAAGTGTTTTTATGCCAGTTATCTTTGAGGTCCTTGCTCACAAACTTACATTCTAAGAAAGGTAACAACATAGGCGTAGAGTATTCCTGTTATGCTGATGGCTAGTTTTCAAGGATAAAAATAACAATTAGGAGGGAACAGAGACGCAGTACCTTAGCCATGGAGCCCAACCACATCTCCCAGTGATTCCCGAACTGGGCGGTGCAGCCGGAGCACAGAGGACTGACCACGCCCTGGGCATTCTCATCCTGTTGGCTGGGGTGGAGCCGGACACTCTGTATGTCTAACAGCTTCGCAGGTGATGCTGTTGCCACTGGTCTGGCAACCACACTTTGAGACCCACTGCTCTGGCTAAGTTGACCATTTTTTCACTCTTCTCTCTTCTTTTACTTAGTTAAAAAAAAAAAAAAATCTCAGGTCTGTTCTGTGCACAGAGCTCTGAGGGGCAACTGAGGAGTCTGTACCCAGTTTCCTGTGGGCTTGCAATTATTTCTAGGACACACACATATTCATCTCTCTGGAACTGTTCTAGAACTCACCCGGCTGGAGTGACCTGGAGTGCACCTTTGGCAGGAACTGAACCTCTAGCACTGACCCAGAGCCCACTGGTCCCAGTGCAGAGCTTTGCTTTTTTTGCTTTCGTAATGTAGTCCCTTAAGAGTAGGGTTTGGGGAGAAGTGAGTGATCTGTGGGTGTTGCCTTTGTGTTTTCCTCCTAAGGGAAGGCCTGCCTGTGTGGTCCACACAGCAAGCCACACTCACCGCTCTGGCTTCTGGGACCTACCTCAGGCAGCTTTACTTGGCCTTCCTGGAAGGAGCAAGACTTGGGGTCATGGGTGCAGACGTGTCGGTATTTACACCAGTAGCAGCGGAATGGGCTCTCCATGCAAGACAGGCACCTGGGTACAGGGGAGGGCAAAGCACGAATCAGAGACCCTGGGTGAACCCAAAGCAGTGGGCCTGAGACTCTGGGGCCTAGGAAAACATTTTTTTACAGTAAGAGAAACCACCCCCAAACACTCAGGAAGAGCATATCTCAATCCAAGCCATCCCTTTCTTCAAGTCCTTGGCCAGCCAAGACTCCCTGGCCTCTTCCCTCTCATGCAGGTAGCTGGCAAAACTGGTCCCCACGGGCTTCATCAGCCACTGCCACTTCCATAGGATGGTACTCTCTTTTGCTGAATTGGGGAACAATAAGGCCTGGAGTAGCAAGGCTTGTCCAGAGAGCCCACGAGATTTAGGGCAAACAAAATAACCGAGTTTTAGTTCAAATCGACTCCAGGTGGCCAGGCCCATGTCCCCACATGCGTTTGGTTCTTCTACCTGGAGTACCATTTTCCCTTCCTCCACTTGGCCATCTCCCCCTTTTTTGACCGGTGGAGAGTTGGTCAGACTGGGCCCTTATCTCACCAATCCCTTCGTTTAAGTCTCTGGGGCAGTACTGGTGTTGCCCCTCTCTGACTCGCCCCAGCCCGAGTCCTAACGCAGCCCACAGGGCAGAGCTGAGCCTTCAGTGGCTTGTTGGATGATACCCGCCCCCGCCGCCCCCCGCCCTCAGACTGTTTCTCTCAGCCCGAGTGTTGATCGCTCCATTCTTCAGGTGAGATGTGCCCCCTCCACAACAGATGGTGGGAAGTGCATCAGGTTAGACAGATGGATGCCAGAGATGTGTGGGCTGGGGCTTTGGAGCCCTGCACCCCACAGGGGCTCCCTCTGCTCATTCTAGCCTCTTTCCCTCAACCCAGTGGGTGTCAGGGGAGGAGCCTGTCTGCTTCTGGGGTGAAGAAGGCCTCCTTGCCAGGGCCTCTAGATGGTAACTCCTCGCAAACAGTGGCAGGTTCTTCTCTCTCTGGATGAACCTTGACCCCAGGAACGGGGACCTGAGTGAAGCTGGGGGCACTTACGAGTTGTGGACGCTGCAGTTGTAGAAGACAAAGCTGGTGCTGGCAAAGGTCATGCCTGTCTCCTTTGACTTGAGCTGCAGCTGGACGACGTGGTGGTCCCCTGTGGGGCAGAGCCGGCCACAAGGTCAGGGGGAGGGCAAGGCCCTGTGTTGGGGTCCCCCTGAAAGTTGTGCACACTGGGGAAGGGGAGCCTGCTGGACCTAGAGGAGGGTGCACCTAACAGTCTCTGACCCAGCAGGTGTAGGCCCAGGACAACCCCGAGAGCAGCTGCAGAAGGCGGTTCTGGCCTGTCCCTCCTCCCACACTGTGCCCCTACCCCTCATTTGCTCATCAGCTCCTAAATGTACACACACACACACACACACACACACTGACAGGTATGCGAATGTGCATTCATTCACCTGCATCATGTCCATGCCAGACCCACAGAATGACAAACACATCGATTAGCTACCAGGAGAAACAGGCCGCCTCTCACCAGTGTTGCCACAAACTACACAAGAGACTTTGCATGTATGTGTGTGTGCCGACATGCATGTTTCACATCCCTGTAAAGAGAGACCCTGGTCTGAAGCCCCTGCTCGGGTGGGCTCAGGGCTGCACTCAGGCAGGCGTGCGCGGAATCCTCAGCTGGCGCCAGGGAGGCGCTGGAGCCCATGTTTAATTCACAGCCCTGACCCCAGGCCCCTACTCCCAGACCGGTTCTGTGCCTTCCCGAGAGCCTCATTAATCAATCAGCTCGGAACAAATGTGACAAGCCCAAATGGGAGGGCCAACCTGGCATCCATCTGCCCAGGCCAGGTCTGTTCACAAGCGCTGGGGCTCTGTCCACCCCCGGCCCTCCCAGTGCGGCTGACCACGAACGGGCAGCTCTGGGAAGGCAGGTTAGGGTGGGGCTGGGGGTGCAGGGGTCCAGGGTCAGAGACCCAGCAGTGCTGGCGGGGGTAAGCAGCCAGAGGACTCGCCACCCCACCCCCGCCTCCACTGCACCTCCACGACAGCCCTCTCACATTCCAGTACAGCCCTGAACCTGACCGGCACACTCTGACGCTGCCCTGGCCTTGCCCTCCACCCACCCTCTCCAGCTGCTCCTCAACTCACGTGAGCTTGACTCTTGGATGCTCACCTGGTCTCAACCGTCAATTCCAAGGGCAGCAAAGGTTACCTCATCTCCCTCTTTCTGCAACTTCCCACCAACCCGCACCCTTTCCTCTGACCCTCCCCTCCTGAAGGCTGCCTCGATCCCACCACATCTGTCCCGAGTGTCTGTCCTGAGTTTTCATCCAGGCAGGAGGACAGCCCTGCCACCCTGCCCTGCCTCTGGAGGCCCCTCACCGTTCTCCGTGATTATCCGGGGCACCTCCTTGGCCGCCGGGGAGTAGCACTGGATCTGATTGCCCACCACCAGCCCATCCATCTCTGACAGGTCCTCAAACGTGCAGTTGACGCCAGCTGACAGCTCCGGGACGTTGTATGTCTCCAGGACCAGCTGTGAGCAGTCCAGCCGAGGAAGAAAGAGAATGAAATGGGATAAAGGAGGAGAGAGAGAGAGAGAGCAAGGGAGACCAGAGAGAAAGAAAAAGATAAAAAACATAAGGCAATATTGATATAGAGATGAACAGATGCAGTTCCTTACAAGAGCATACAGAGAGGGTGGTGGAATGTAAAAAGACAGGGACAACAGGAACGTCATTACACGGGAACAGAAATGGCCCCAGGAAATGGAATGTTTGGGGGATTTGTGTGTAGTAAGAAAAGTGTGCAGGACGGAGGCACCACTTACCAGACTCCTCTTCCGTTGCCCCAGTTTTGGAACACCAGCAACACCCACTACCAAGTGCCCAGTGCAAGAACGTGGGAGCCATCTCAGCCCTGTCTCCCTCTGCTCAGACACCTTTCCCATCTTCTAGACAAAGCGATTGTTCCCCACACCCTGCCTCTCTGGGTCACCCTTCGGATCATTTTTGGTGTCACAGTTTTCCCTGTCTTTCTACCCATTTTGCACAGGGCCTCTTGCCCCATGTTCCTGTGCATGAGCCCCTTTTCCATTCCCAGGGACACCTTCTTCAACAGCTCTGCCCTCAAACTGCTTTGCTAGCCAGACTGGGCCCAGCCTTTGCTAGGGGGCGTTGGGCTGCAGTTTTGGGCGAGAAGAGGGTTCTTCCCACATCCTGGACCCTGGCCTTACTGCTCTTACCAGGACGTTGTACTGAGAAACAGAGATGTTGCTGGGATGCACGGTCAGCCGGACACACTGCTTCATCTCGGAGGCAAACCTGTGGGGCTCTCTGGACCGCTCGCAGCGCTCCTTCCGGGTGCACCTGGTAGGAGAGACCAGCGAGGGACTGAGAAGAAGGTGCCTGGCCCAGGGAAGGGCTGACACAGAGGTTAGTCATTGCCAGTGGCTCCCAGGATGTGTCCAAACTCAACCTGCCCAGAACTGACCGTTTTGCTTCCTTCCTTCAGCCTAGTCCTCCCACGTCGTGCCCGAATTTGAAAAAGATGGCAATTCCCATGACTGGTTGCCAAAGGCAGAAATTTGAGAGTCATTCTAAAGTCCTCTCACTGCCTTCTCATTCACACAGAGTCCCAAAGTTCTGTCTTCTCCAACTCCCCACTCCTCCTTGGCCCTTGCCATTCTCTCCTCTCATTAGGCGGACCGAGGCTTGTTCTTGTCATGTGTACAAACTACTCTTTCAGACTTCCTTGTCTTTGTGCATGTCAGTTTGTCTGTCTGGGCAGCCCTCTCCCCAATTTTCAATTTTCCCCTATCCAACATCTATTCATCCTTACAGACATGCACCTGCAATCTCCTGTCCCTCCCTACTCCAGGCAAAGATAAAAACACTTGGAGTTTCCTACAGTCTAGAACTTCTTAGATTATACGACAATTATTGGACTGAGTGCAGCGCTTACCATCCAAGTGTGAACTGCTCAAAAGAAGAAACCGTGCTGGACTTATTTTGGAATCCCCTCATGTCCAGCCGAGAGAAGATAAATGCAGGTGGATGGGAGGGAGAGAAGGAAGGATCAAAGGAGTGGAGTGCACTAGTTCAAAGTGTGCTCTGGAGCCAGACCGCCTTGCATTGAAATCCCAGCCCCATGGCACAGGGTAACCGCTGCAGAAGGTTTGCTATGATTGCTTAGTGTCCTGTGCTGTTCAAAGTGCACTGTGTCACAGGTGGACCACATCCAGGGTGACCTGGGATCTTATAGTCTCAACTGATGGGAGCTTGTGAACAATGCACATAAAAACCATGGCCCTCACTCAAATGCACACGTCCCACCTGGGGAAGGTGCTGTAAGCTCTCTGCTGGGAACAGGGTCATCCGTGCCCTGCTGTGGGAGTTCCCTGCAGAGAGGAATTGGAGTTTCAGGGCACAACATTTAATCCAAGTCAGACAAGGCTTGTGAATGTGGAGCTTCACGTGGCCAGGATTTAGAACGTCTGGACTGCTGATTCGGTTACGGGACAAGGGAAAGCAGGGGCAAAGCGAGATAAAGTGGAACTGCGGGACCATCACTCCAGGGTGGCTGGTCTCCTTGGGTGAAGGAGAGTAGACTCCGCAGAAGAAAGCAGACGTCAGGGGCTGTTTCAGGGTGGGAGGGAGCACTGGGCAAGGATTTTAGTAAGAAAGGAAACATCCAGGGATGTAGAACCCGTGTGGGGAACGGGATACTGAGGAGAGAACATCTGCCTCAACAGGCAGACAGGTGAGGTGCAGGGTAAGGGACGAGGGAAGAGAGGCACCTGGGCAGCTGGGCTGCTCTTGGGGTGACTCTCAGGCCCACAGGAAAGCTGTGGGGGCCTCTCCTCCAGCCATGGGGGAGGAAGGTGCCTTGGGCCTCTGTGGGGAGAAAAGCCTAGCAGTGGGGAACCTGAGAGGTGAATTTAGCAAACAAAGGAGAAATCGCTGAAGGGGGTGGACTAGAGAAAGAAGGGGAGATACAGGGACAAAAGGGATGGCCTGAGAATAGATTGGATGTGTAGTACAGAAGTAAAAGACGATTCTGAATAATACAGTCATGGCTAGAAGTCGCCGAGTGCAGCGCTTCCATCCAAGTGTGAGCTGCACCCTTATTAGGCACTGTGATAAGGGGCATCCCCTCTGTGTCACTGAAGTCCCTTAGCAATGCCGTGAGGTAGGTATCATTTTAAATCCCACCTTACAGAGCAGGAAATGACAGAGAGGATGGTAGTCCCTTGTCCAAGGTCACCAGCTAATCAGAGATCCCGCGTGTGAACACAGATGAACTTGGGCCTTCAGCCTCAACCACTGTGCTCGAGCTCCCTGAGGATTCTAGACTAAGAATGGAGGGAGAGACCTCTTACTAAACCCACTTTCCCTGCCATTTTGGTGTTCCCTTCATGTGCTTTGGGCAATTAAAAATTTTCCCTCCAATCTTCTTCTCTAGCCTAATTGCTATTTCATCTGCCATGAAGAAGCAGCACTTGAATGTTATAGTGACTTGCGGATTCTCCAGGACCTTCTAGGACTCCCATTCCCCAGAGGGAAAGGTCAGACATGAGCGTGGTTGTCTCCACGGTACTCCCCGACTGCCCTAGCAGACCCATGGCAACGAAGGCGCCTGCCTAAAAGTCTCGGAAGTTAATTTGCTAGGCTAGCGTCTCTGGGAGGACTTCATTACCTCCAGCCATTAAGCTAATGTTATGGACTTTTCCAGGGTGTCTGCGCTGACATCGCTATTAATAGTGTTATTACTCCCATTAACGGCAGACTCGGAGAGCTGGTATAGGCTTAAATTATTCACTGATTTCCCAACTTTGAAGTTTCTCTTTCCAAAAGCAATCAGTAGGTCTGAAAAAAAAAATGTCTATAGATAAATTATGAAGGGAGAAAAATGAAGCTGCTTTTAGGCCAAACAACGTCTGGACTGTCTAAATAGCGATCCAGATCTCTCTTCTGGCGGGGTACAAAGGAACCTGGTTGAAGGATCTTAAGACAAGTTCTACCTGCATGGTTTGCTATTCCCCAAATTCATGTGGCTGCGTCTTGCCATGCTCCTGAGAGCCCCAAACTAACTATTCATCAGCTCCCCCGGGTTCAGATCTCACCATCTAACTATGTGATCATCTTGAGCAAATAACCTAACCGCTTGGTGCCTCAGTTTTCTCATCTGTAAAATGGGAGCAAAATAGTATCCATCTAATAGGGTTCTTATGAGGTTAAGAGATTATGCAAGTAAAGTATTTAGAACAGGGTATAACTCACACATAATAAGCCCTCAGTAAATGTTAGTCATTGTTATTATTCCATCTCTTCTCATCCTTCCTCATCCAACCCCACCAAACGGTAGCTGATGCAGAAGCACTGATCTTCTCCCAGACTGGCCCATTGGGGCAAATCAGAGACAGAAAGGGGATGGCGACAGCAGTTTCCCTCTTCATAAGCGAGAAGGGGCCCTAGAGGCCAGGAGGGAGGAAAGGAAGAAGAGTGGTCTGGGCAGCAGCTCTGCCTTCTTACAAGCTGTCACAGGGTATTGAAAACGCAGCTTTTCGGGGAAAGTCAAGTTTAAGGTCAGTGTCGGGGATGCTTTGACATTTCTACTATCCCTCAGTGCCCATGAGGGTAGAGGCTGCAAATGTCCAAGAGCACAGACAATTGACCTTAGATGAGGTAGGAAAATGGAGGAGGAAGAATGAATTTCTCCTGAATTCCTATGGGGTCTGCCGGGGTAATAGCTCCTGCTTTTTTCTAAGACTGTGCTTTCTCATTGGCCCAGGCGAGAGCTAGGGAACATGTAGAGAGTTAATTCACGACTCTCGGGGCCAGCTTAGATATTACCTTCAACAAGGCTCCCTGGACTTCCTAAAGCGTTCCCTTCAATTCCACTGGAGGAGCACCCTGAAGGTCCAGGAAGATCCTCGATTCACCCACTGTTCAGGCACGACTCAAAAAATGTCACAGCATGCAAAAAGTGTGTGTATATATGACTTGGAGTTTTCAGACATTCATCTCTGCCACCACCATTGCCACCTACCCCCAACATAGACCCACAGATGGCCAGCAGGAAGCAGGTCCCTAGAAGGTACCCCGGGCCCCCAGAGTTGGGATCTGGCCCTGCTAATCTCTTACGTCCCTTCCTCAATCCACTTCCTCTGCAGTTTGTCCCTCCAGCCTCAGTTCAGAGGTGCTGCAAGCCTTTGGGGACAAGGACCCTGGCGCCTTGGAGGGGTTATTAGTCAAGTCAGTGGTTCCAATGAGATTATCTTCTCTAATGAAGCAGCTACCTCCACCCTCCCCTAAGCCTGAACTTTCACTGCTGAAGAATTCCCAGCCAAGTAGAAAATTAGAAGGGAGAGGAAGGGAGAAAGGAAAGGGGTGAGGGAGAGGGGAAGAGTAGTGATTAAGGTCTCTAGAAAGTAATTCCTAAATACAGGGATAGAAATATTAACTCCCAGTGCTGCTGGCCAGGCAGGTTTTAATTTGAAAAAGGAGCTATGTGTGAGTCCGGCCTGGGCCAGCCTCTAAACTGGAGGGTTTTTCCTGGGTCCCGCCCCCCAGCCCTCTGACGTGGGTCCACCAGTCTGAATTACCAGAACCTGCTCTTTGCTTCTCCCCACAGGTGACCCCTAAACCTTGACATTTCACCTTGGCGATGGCCTGTGCTGAAAGTGAACCATCCTGGAATCCGTGGTTAGAACACGAGGAGTCTGAAACCCCTGCGGTGGGAGTGGAGCTTCCTAAATGAACTTTCTGGAAAATTAAGAGGACTCGGAATGTTTATTCAAGTAGGAGATCCCGGGGGCTGTTTGGTCACTATCTCCACAACTGGGAACATGGCAAGGAAAGAGACCAGGTTTCCTAATGTCACTGTCCTTGGCCTCTTCAGGACTCCAACAGAAATGGGAGGGTACATGTGTACACTCAGAGGAAGGCGAACTAGAGGGTAAAGGGCGCCTTTCTAGGCAGGTGGGTGTGTAGGAGGATCCTTATACGAACAGGTGTGGCCCGGGGAGTCCTTTCAATGGCACGATTCTAGGGTCCTGTGACCGACACCAGGGCCTCAACCTAAGCATTTAGTTTGTTCTTGGATAAATCCCGAAACATGAAGACCACAGTTAGACTATGATTTTCCCTATGTCATCAGCTGCTGGCCACTGACCTCACTGTTCCTTTACCCTCTCTAAAGATCCCAAGGCACTCAGCAGCAGGTGTTGGATTCACCATGCCTCCTGGGCCACACTCAGCGGGCAAGGCCACCAAGGCAGGAGGAGAAGGGCACAGGACTTAACGGGAGCCAGCAGGTGCAGGAGTTCAGTGGAGGCCCAAGAAGAACCTTCCTGGGCTTCTACAGC